CAGACCTGGCAGTTCGCCTCTTAGTCAAAAATATTTGTTTGAACAACCATAAATCTGGCGATTTCGTTTTAATTTTCCATGGCCAATAATTTACGGGTTTAGAAGGAATGGTCGAATTGTATGACTGGGAAAAAAGCTCATGCCCGTTCTCTAAATAGGAAAATGTACGGTCGAATCAACGGGCAAACAAAAAGCAATATTTTTGTCATCCACATTGAATCCAACAAATCTTCATCTAATTAAACATAAGATTAAAACCATTTTAAATTTTTTGCTATGTATTTTCATTGATTTTGCTGTGTAGTAACACTTATAAAGATTTTGATTTAAAATTTATTATTATTCGGAGATCGTGAGATGCGGTCTTGTGTGACGTAGATTTTAGAAAACATTTTCTTTATCGTGCCAACGTTTCAAACTTTATCGAGATCATCTTCAGGGCCTGGGATTTATAAACATTTTTAACTTTTACAAATACATGTAGGATGTGAAAAAATTAAAAATAATCAAAATTTAAAATTAAATAATTAAAAATTAAAATTTATTGCAGGTTTGCCTGATCTCGCTACAAAATTCAAACTGCAAGTAATTGACAAGTATCTTTAAAAACATAATGTTACAAAACGTATTTTTTAATCAAAATTGAAATTTTTTTTAATGATAGTTAAATTTTCTGAAATAGTAGTCATACAGTGAACAATTACAGTTCAACTGATAGCCGTTTAGTTGGTACAAACTTTAAAATCTAAATATTGAAAGACCTTTGAAAAATTTCAAAAATTTGAGGCGAATTTGAAACGGTATGCTTTGTACGTACATTTTTTTCATAGAGTATTTTACATCCCTCCCTCGCCTCTGAAAAAAAGTGAATCCTGGAAATACCATTCTCATACCATTTCAATGTTTTTAAATTTTACAACCTATAGGAAGTTTCGTCAAAGCGTAGAGAATTTTTGAAATTCTTCATTGATATTTCAATATTTCCATTTTATTCTTACATTATTTAAATTTTACATATTTCTGCGTACAGAAAATCTAAATCATCCCTTATGTATTTTTTTTTTATTTGTTAGACATAATCGCATAAGCCATGAATTAAATGGCCAAAATTTTTGAAAAACTAAATTTTATCGTAGAATTTTTTCGATTTGTATGTACCTTGTAACAATATTCATTTTACCCTTAAAGACCAACTTTCATTAGTACTTAATGCAAAAATCAGGTCTATTATACAATAATTCCCTGTTGTAGTTCGTTCCTACGGTTTGCACATATAAGTGCACATATATATATAAATAAAAGTAATACTGACTTACAATTAATTAGTCTTATTTTAATAATAATTTCGTGGGGGACCACGGTGGCTGAGTTATTAGAGCGTCCAATACGTATTTTCCACGCTAGTAGTCTGTTCCATTTTCACATAGCCAATGGACTTTTAATTGTGAAAAATATGGAAACAGTGTTGTTAAGTGGTTTGACCCCTGGTCTGCGACACACAACAGGTAGTTGGACAATAAGCCATTCTGTATGACAAGAATTACCGATTAATGATTTATATAAACTATAACATGCACTTGTCTGTACATACGCAACCACCCTCGGAGCTGTGGCCCCTACGGCGACGACGGGTGGTATAGTGTGGTTGAGGCTCGAGACCCCGAAACGCTCACCTGGAGTCCTCATCCACGGCCCTTTCTCAATCCAGGTTCTTTCATTCTATTCTATGACCCCCTCCCAACCCTTGGTTACAAGGGGGGTATCCAGGCGCAAAAATAATGGTGTCGCCTAGAGGGCTTGGCAACCTCTCTAAAGCACAAGCTGTACTCGTGTCGGCCTCGGGGAGGATCGGACGGCAGGGTATAGGCGTGGATGACGCGATGATTATGCTGGATAGTCCCTCGAATGCATGAGTAGTAGCGGTTGGGAGCGGGTAGTGATTCGGTTGCTCCTACTCGGGTATGCTTTGCACAGCTGTGCATATGACCGTCGTTGTTGCCTTGTGGGACACCGAAGGCGTAAGGCTATGGCGTTCCTCGAATGTAGGCTGAGCTCGATGGGAGGATTTACCGTAGGCGGTGCTCCTCTAGGGGTGGTTAGAAATTCCACTTTAAACGAAACCACGGCCAGAGCGGATCCTGAGGTTTCAACGCTAGAGGAGCCCCAATACTCTGGGAGATAGATTGGCCTTCTCTATATAGGGAGTGCGCGGGAGACCAGGCTGATGTACTTGGGCTTAGGTAGCCATTTTTCGCTCGGCATACGGTCTGATGTTTAATTCAGGCTCGGCCACTTGGAATGGGCAAGCGGAGAGCGAGTTTGTCTTGCCCCTCGGAGCTGGGCGGCCTCTACACCAATGCTGCGGCAGTAACACAATCCTTTCGTATGCGGAGGTGCGTCAGCTCTCTTCGTCAGCTCTGAGAATCAAAACGTCCAATAAGGCCTATGTGCAGGTGCGGACGTTAAAGATCCTCATTGTCCTTTTAAGGCGACCGAGTATGCAGGAAACTTATGTCTGTATATAGGTCCACGACCGGTGGTATAATGTGGTTAAGGCTCGGGGCTCTGAAAAGATGCACCTCGTGTCCTCATCCACCTTCCTCTCTCAGTCCAGTTCCTTCACTCTTTCCTGCGACCCCTCCCAACCCTTGGTTACAAGGGGGGTGTCCGGGCGCAAAATAATGGTGGGGACCTTCAAGACCCTCCGGAGGATCCAGAAGCGTTTTATTGGCCGGGTATGGCATCGGATGTGTCCAGGTATGTCTCCTGGTGTGAGGTTTGTCTGTCAATGAAGCCACTACAAAAACCACCAGCCGGCTGGATGGGGAGGCGGAGAGTCGCAACCAAACCGTGGGAGGTGGTCACCACGGATCTGATGGGACCCCTGCCCCTATCAACGCGTCAGAATCGATTACTGCTATTAATTTCCGACTACTTTTCGAAGTACACGGTCCTCATCCCACTCAGGAAGGCGACATCGAAAAATGTGGCAGACCATATTGAAGAAAAAATGTTTCTCGCCTTTGGGGTGCCACGGGTAGTCATCTGCGATAACGGGGTTCAGTACCGTGGACGAAAGTTTACTACCAAAATGTCGGAATACGGAATGAAGACATGGTACACGGCGCTATACCACTCGCAGGCTAACCCGACAGAACGAGTAAACCGGGTGATAAAGTCGATGTTGGCATCTTACATTCGAGACAATCAGAGGCTCTGGGCTGATGGCTCTGAGAGATAGATTGGCCTTCTCTACCTAGGGAGTGCGCGGGAAACCAGGCTGATGTATTCTTTGCGCGCGGCATACGGTCTGATGCTTAATGCATACCCGACCACTCGGAATGGGCAAGCAAAGATCGAGGTTTGTCTTGGCACCTCGGGGCTGCATGGCCTCTACACCAATGCTGCGGCAGTAACACACTTCTGTCGTATGCGTCAGCTCTCATCTCGAGAATCAAAACGTCCGATAAGGCCTACGTGCCAGGTGCGGACGTTAAAGATCCTCATTGTCCTTGTAATCCTTGTAAGGACGACAGAGTATCCGGGAAGCAATGTCTGTACATACGTCCACATGTACAGAGTTTAGCCTGTCGAAGCCACTTCTCCCAGTCCACAGTTAATTTCGACATTCCTTATTGTACTATTTACGACACCTCGAGTGTTGTCTTGGATCGGTCTTCCGTATTATCCGTCCAACCGCCGAAGTTGGCTCCAGGGGCATTCAAGCGCTAGGTTATTTCAGCCCCCGAAATAATCAGTTCCTAAAACCAAACCCATTCATTCTCTCACGCATTCTTAAATATATTCTTTCTTATTTACCATTTATTCAATTAGGCTACCGGAGTTCCCGATATTACACCTATTGTATAAATGATTTAGGGGGGGTATTCAATGTTCCCCCATCAGACCTCTCACACTAAACATTCACGCAAAAAATTACATTCACTCTCAACACCCTTTAGGGACACAAAAATGCATTATATACAATCAAACAACCCTCCAGATAATCGATGCTAGATCTTTAGGATGGCCAAATGTAGGTCTGAGGGATAGAACCAAAGGTAAATTTGGAAGTCTGCATAATGGTGGTAGTTACAGTTCTTGATGGAGTTGGAGAGGCCGTTAATGTATATACTAAAAAGGATGGGTGAGATGCTACAGCCTTGGGGAACGCCAGATTTTAATAGGAGGAAGGAGGATGTACGTCCGTTGGGAATAGGAGACGATTGATGAGATAGGAGTGGAACCAACGAAAAGTATTATTGAAGAAGGAATAGGATACTAGTTTGGATAGGTCATCAGTGGGCGATGGAATCAAAGACTTTGGAAAAGTCAAGAAATTAGATAAAATTTACAAATTAAATCACAATAAATAAGCAAAATGAAATAAAAAATAATTCTTTGAAGTATTTGATACAGTATAACGTAGTCAAACTTATTTTCTTTTCTTGTGTGCCTGATTCAAACAAAAAGAAAAAGAACTAATAAAAAGTTTAATATAAACGATGTAACTACATGCCAGGTCGGTGTATCGTATAATATTAAATTTGTAAAATTAAAAAAATATTTACGACAATTTTTTTTCTTGAAAGTAGAATATATTACTATTTTCTACTAGGGCATCATCAGAAAACCTTCAAACGATCAATCTTGAATAAATGGATGGCTGACACTCAACCTACTCCTATTCAAATCAAAGTTGATTGATGAAAACACGTATCGTCGATTTTTTATTGACTTTTTAAATAAGTATTCTTGACCGAATCGAATTTGAACCAAATTGAAAATGTTTGTTACGGCTATACGCTTGTTACTAAATGTTACGAAGTTAGTAACTCGTTTTCTTAACTCCACACACGTCCAAATTGAGAAATTGCAACCTCAAACTTTTAAATAAAGTTCACCTCATGTTTTCCTTCTCCTTGGACAATACATTTGTTCCTGTGCCAAAGCATTTTTTTTAATAATGTTGACTTTTGTTTGTTTTTGTTCTATAACAGAATAGCGGCATTTAAAAATAGATTAATCATACGGCTAAGGAGCGTATTGCACGACGAGAGCAACGTGTTCAAAACAAAAATCGACAACCCGTACAACGTGGAATACCACGGGCTGCAGAAATCTTCCAACATCCCCCCTCACCAGCTTCTTTGTAGATTTAATAAAACTGTTCCGTACGTTCCAACAATTACAGGGAAAGAGAGTGCCTTTCAGTCCTCCCCGGTCAGATTTGCTGTACCAAAGACCAAACTGATCGAGGACTACGAACATTACAATAACTGTGCAATAGTCTCCAACTCGGGGGCGCTAAACGGCTCAAATTTAGGTAAATTAATCGGTAAGTTGGATCCTTTTATCACTTATCTTCCCGAATGACCTCATCAGTTTGATTTTTACCGCAGATAGTCACGATTTAGTTCTCAGGTTTAACCACGCTCCGACTATAGGGTATGAAAAAGACGTCGGTCGAAAAACAACAATTAGAATATTAAACTCTCAAGTTGTCTCTAAAAAACACTTCAAGTTTTTAAAGAACAAGATGTACAGCGGTATAAAAATACTGGTATGGGACCCGTGTAACTACACTTCAACTTTAACACAGGTAAACGTCGAAATTTTACGTTTTGTCATTTTACAATGAACAAATGATTTTGTTTACAGTGGAAAAACAAGCCAGACTTCGATGTTTTCACACCTTATGTGAAGCACAGGAGAGCGAAGCCGAAGACGAATTTGCACCTACTCGATCCGAGGATACTCTGGACGCTGTGGGACTTCATCCAAGCTCATACGTCAGTCAGGATCCGACGAAATCCACCTTCATCAGGGTTTTTAGGTAATATATTACACATTTTTTGTTTCCATAGGTATAATTATAAATTATATTTTAAGAATAAATTTTAAGAAAAAAAAATCCTAAAAAACACCGACAATAAGACAAAAATTTAGTAACATCTATTCAGTTTTTTCAGTCTTCTGATAAAAATTCATTAACTATTTCATTTAACACCGGTTAATTACTAATAGAGTTTCAGAGAAATAATAAAAGCACTAAAGAACGAGGGTCTAAGGGTCAACCCTTGAGATATGCATATGAATGTGAATCATGACGACCACATAAGCTTGACTGATTTCATGTTACAACAATGCTTTGATTTTAGCCAAACCTGCATCACTTGAAATCATCACTCGAACAAATTTGAAACTTAAAAGTTGTACAACTTAAAAAAAGTCAAACCATCGGAACGTTAGAAAGAAGTCTTTCAATTAATTAAGGTTTTTAGTTGAGATGAAAAAGTCAGTGTCACGGGTGAGATTCGAACTCGCTCGTAACCCTGACTTTATTTATTAATTAAAAATTCATTAATTGAAAGTTATTCATTAAGTTTACGGCTTTTTATCAGATCTGAAAATTTGACACTTTATGCCAACCGAGGACCTGTTCCTCTGTTTGTATTCTTCCTGCCAATATCTGTTCAGATTTCTAAACAATAAAATATAGATTTGTGTTATGATAAATCTATGTAAACTTATTGGATCAAATAATGGATCCCATCCTAACTGCTATTGTACTCAAAGATTTCAGTCAAAAGTCATAAATGTCTACACTGTTTTCTAATTATCCAACCTCATCGTACAGAGTGAAGTATACATGGCCGTGTCTCTTGAAGTTTGTGATTATTAAAAAACAGAGCGGGTGCAGTTTTGATGTTCTTAAGTGAGTCGCTATTGAAAGAATGTTTGTTTTCTCTACCTTTGTACCGCTGTTCTAGTGTTAATTTTGTAATTACATATAAAGGTGGAAAAGTGATTAAAGAATAACAGTTTTGAGCGTGAGTATTCTTTTGTAAATTTGCAAGAGAATTGAGTGTGACAAAAAAAAAGTTTACGACCAGCGACGAGCTTTGAGCACCACCGATTGCAGTGCGAGCAAAGCGAAACGATCTGATGAGTCCAGGGTTTATTGGGCCACTAAATGACCTCAAAATCCTGTATAACTTTACCCGGGTATAACGTTAGACTCTAAACTGCACTTGTTAACATAAACAACAAAGACAGCCAAGGGCTGGACTAAAAATTATTCCAGTGGGAAACCCGTAATCTCTATCTTCCGGTGGGAATTATTTTTTTACCAACTTTTCCCGGTGAATTATGGCCGGAGTGGTATCAACGCACTGGTGAAAACGGGCTTTTTCCGCTGATTCTTGATCGCTTGGTGTTTTTGTCAGTTTCCCACTTTTAATGCTGGATTTTTATGTTGAAGTTTAACTAATTTGATTTTCTATGTAAAAACATTTTTTTTTCAGGTATCGCCTTGCTTCTTCCGCATTGCAGCAAAATAAGGTTGTTCGAATATATCCCGTCGCTTCGAATGACACCCAGGTGTCATTATTTCGACAACGAGGTGGATTCGTCCTGCACTTTTGGAGTCTGGCATCCTTTGGCCGCTGAAAAAATCCTCTCTCTCGCCATGAACGAAGAAGACGACTTTACGACTTATCACACCGGGTTCATAACCATTTCCGGTTACGACTCCATCAAATGCGGAGCTTAAATGGAATTTAACAAGCTTAAAAAAATACGAATTGTGCTGAAGCCTTATTTTGAAAAAAAAATCCAAAAACCAGTCTTCCCCCAATAAATATTCTTTGTAAAATTTTATCGGTGTATAAAAAATGTCTTTATTAAATGTTAGCGACTTGTATGTGATAGAACAAAAAAGTATGGCAACAATTTAATATTACAACGAACTTATTTTTTACGTTGTAAATGCTCTAGAATCAAGCATGTAAAAATTAATTAATTATACGTAATAAAATTTATTTTGAAAATAGTGAATATTTATTAATTTATTAGAATTTGTAAATTTAATATTTTCAACTACATATCAACTGCCTGTTTGTATTTGTAGAAAACAATTTCGTAATGAAATTTTCCAAAATTAGAAGTCTGTTGAAAGCTACACTGAGAGGCAAAAATGTTTCCTCGTGTTTTTAGTAAATACTTGCAAACATAATTTTTATTTTGTTTGTTTGTTTACTGTACATTTTTTAAATAAATAAATAAGATATGGCTAAATAAAAAAGTAAACTGAGTAAAACAAATTTACCAGAAATGTTGCTATAGAAACAATGAAGATAATATTTAATTCAGTAGTAGTAATTTACTCATCAACTTGACAGAGTTACAGATTTTATTACTTCATGCTCGTAAACTGTACGCGACTGGAGTGTTTCTAGTTTTTTTTTTTTTTTTTTTTCAAGCCTTCGACAAAATACGGCATGAGGGATTATTATACCAATTAAAATTATTTTTACCCCAGGTCTATTATCTGATTATACAATCATACCTTAAAAAGAGATTTTTCTCAGTAAACCAGGGTAAGGAGACTTCTGAGATGGAAGAGGTGTGCCGCAAGGATCAATACTCGCTCCGCTGTTGTTCACAATTTTTACTTCTGATATGCTCACAAATGAGAATGCACTTACTGCCACATATGCAGATGACACCGCCATATTAAAAAGTCATCCCTTTTCTACACAAGCTTCACTTATGTTACACCACATTCAACAATTGAAAAGTGGAGCAATCTTTTAACCCCTCAAAGTCACAACATATCACTTTTACACTTCGCCGTAAGACTTGTAGTATATATTTATACAATTGACCTGATCCTCAATCCGACAAAGTTAACAATTTAGGACTTACATTGATAGAAGACTAACTTGTAATCCACACACGCGATTTTAAAAAACAGACACTCAACAAAGATATAAAATGGTTTATTACCTACTCAACAATCAAAATTACCATTAAAATCAAAACTTACGACATACACATACCTACTCAAACCTATTTGGATGTATGGGTGCCAAGCTTATGGATCGGCCAGTTATTCGATATCTACGTAATATTCCAAGATTACAAAGTTTTCAATCCAAGAATTTTAAGACTAATTGCTTCTGCCCCTTTTACGTAAACAATAACGCACTTCATAGAGATCTTCACATGCGAACAGTTTTTTCATCAATCAAAACATATTAGTATTATATAGTAATAACATATTAGGCCCAACACTACCACCTAAACGTCTGAAAAGAATATGGAGAAAAAATAAGAAAAAAGAGAAAATTATATAAGAGACCTCTTAAATGATAAATATCATTTTATTGGTCCAATGGATAGCTTTCTCTATTAAATGTACGCCCGAAATGTCACAAAACATAAATTGAAATCCAATCGCTGGTTGTATATAATACATGTACAGTTGTAGATACAAATATATGAAGTAATTAATTTTTTAAAAAATCAGTACGGAGTATTTCCTCCTCTTGCGTTTGTTTTGAAGCTGTGGAATATTTTCATTCCCCTCCAACAGTGCCTTTCTTAATTCTTGCAAATTCTCTGGCATCATTGGGCAACTTTTTACCCTCTTCGGTAACCCCCTTTTACCCTCTACTCGTCCCAAAGTTGTTTAATGTGGTTTCGGCGGGACTACATGCTGGCCATTCAAACATTGCATGTGAACGGGTTGTATGGGGCCTAGCAATGTCATACATAAAAATAAAATCGCCAATTAGTAGCATACAAGGAACAACTTCTGATAACCATCTTCAATGCACGCGCAGCTGTTAAGGAACCATCCATGAAAGTCAAGTTTGTGCGACCTTCCGTAGAGCCTGCCTAAATCATCACCACCTTCACAGTTTCTCCGGAGTGAAAAGGTTGAGGGGATATAATATAGCTCTCTTGTTTTTCTCCAAACCCTCTATCAGCAGTCAGAAGATATATCAAACGAAACTTTGATTCATACGAAAACAAGATTTAAGTCGAGTCTTTCGCAGACCAATTGAAGTGATTGCGAAACTTAACCGAGCTGTTCTTTGCCTTGTCAGAAATTCTGGACCAATAGAAGGCCTCCTCACACGTAAGCCAGCTTCTGAAAGTCTTCGCCTTGCAGTGCGTAAACTGACAATCAGGTTGTTGAAGTCGTCGCTTGATCTCAACAGCTGTAAAATATCGATTACGGAGCACATTCGAAACAATAAAACACCCTCTGATATGACACGTTGGCGACCTGAACCCTGCCTCCGCCAGTAACCTCCAGCATCTTGGTAGCGATGGAAGACCCTTCGGACAGTTGTTTAGGGAATGTTAAGCACCCTGGCCTCATAAGCTTGACTGATTTCATGTTACAACAATGCTTTGATTTTAGCCAAACCTGCATTACTTGAAATCATCACTCGAACAAATTTGAAACTTAAAAGTTGTACAACTTAAAAAAAACCAAACCATCGGAACGTTAGAAAGAAGACTTTCAATTAATTAAGGTTTTTAGGTGAGATGAAAAAGTCAGTGTCACGAGTGGGATTCGAACCCACGATCATCACGACTTTTTCATCTCAACTAAAAACTTAATTAATTGAAAGATGTTAATTGGTCAAGCGGACCACGAAACTAGTGAATTTAATAAGTTAGAACGATGCTTTAAAAAAACCAACCAAGAAAAAATACTGTTCAAAAATTTATTTACACAATCCAATTGTAAACAAAAGTGGGAGATTTTATCTAAATTTTATTTATTTCCATTCCTTTAAAACAAACCAAATATTGGTGTAAAGTAATAAATGGGGGATTGTATAATATTATGAAAATATTAGGGTGGTCTTTTTTTGCCTCTCAGTATACATTATACAATAAATAAGCATAACTACATGATCGCAATTTGCAAATAACATGTTAGTTAAAGTTAACCAACCACAATTATAATTAATTAAGGTTTTTAGTTGAGATAAAAAAGTCAGTGTCACGAACGGGATTCGAACCCACGACCTTCGGCTAGATACGCCGCTGCTCTACCACTTTAGCTATCGTGACCTCGATCCACTCGGACACTAACTTCCCATCTCATCCCTACCTTTTGAATGTTCCCTCCTTTTTGCCATTTTGCAATTTTTTATCTCAACTAAAAGCCTTAATTAATTATAATATATTAATTGGTCAAGCGGACCACGAAATTAGTGAATTTAATGAGTTAACCACAATGCGTTCGTACATTTCTAATAGAAATTCAGGAAAATCCATTACCAATATGTTTTGAAATTTTTAAATCTTATTTAAATTTATTGACCGTTAATCCATATTGGCTTAGTGGTCTAATTGACCATATTAATTATTCTAATTAATTATTTTTTATCTAAGGTTTTTGGTTGAGATGAATAATTAGTGCCCGCTTATGACACTAACTTTTCATCTCAACCAAAAACCTTAGATAAAAGGAATAATCAATTGGATTTATTGAGAGTAATAAGCATATTTTACGATAAATTATGCAAAGTGGATTGCAAGTTTATATGCGGATTTAAGCCACAACAAAACGTTGGTCTAAGTCGACTGGCACGTGAGACGTTAAGTTTGTGGATTTTTGTTTCGGGGAAAGTAGCGGAACTGATCCCTATAATCACAACATTTATTCAAGAATTACAACGTTGCTACATATATTTCTAGGTTCAGTAAGTTGTTTTCCTTTACAGTCCACAATCTACGATCATTTTAACTTAAGACAGACCATTTTATTTATTAAATTTTTCAGTTCGTGGAAAAACATAAGAAAAATCTCGATAGAACATAATTGCATTTTAATGACTAACGGAGACACTAATGATTGATTTTTGATTTATACCCAAATCTGCACATATATGCCACCCACTCCTCTGTTTGAAGGCCCTGACGGAAGTCATTGACACTAATGACCTGACCCTGGCTTGGATCTCTGGGCACTCGGAGCATAGAGGTAACGAAAAGGCCCCAATGAGTGGGCAACATGAACTCTCTAGATCCTGAATCCTACTGTGGCTTAGGATGGATCCACAAAGGATACATCTTAAAATAGATTCTTAAGGAATACAAAACCTGGTGGAACAATACCACAGTCATGAGACACACGAAGAGATTCATAGAAGGACCATCCGCAAAACATACAAAGGAAGGCAAGCGCAACCGAACCAGGATTCTGGTTGGACTCCTGACAGGGCACTGCCACTTAAGATAGCACGTGCATCGGATAGAAGTACAGACAGAAGAAACACTGTGCAGATACTGCCAGGAAGAGGAGGAGACCGCAGTGCTCTGTAGGTAAGGTCTATGCAGGTGAGGTTCTTGCAACTAGGACAAGAAAAACCACAAGCAAGATCCTACACTAAGGGACCGCTGGCAAGGCTATAGAGGTTGCTTAACAACCTGAAGCTGGCCAGTAAGTTATTAAAAAACAGGGGAGAACAGTAGATCTACTCAGGTCGAGGTGCAGAAGGCTTTTTGGCAGCCTCTTTTATCTATATCCCTATTCCTATCCCTCTGTTTCGGTGGTCCGCGACAGACCTCGGTCTTATACGTACCACAGACAAAGATCCAGGGTATATATCGCAAACTAGGTCATTTCATCGTCTAACGCATGCAGTTTTAACCAAGTAATATTCACTTTCTCATTCTTTCCTAAATACATTTTTATTTGCATACCACACTAGCTCTGCATATGGAACCAGGAATAACACCCTTGAGTGGACTCATTAAGCAACCTTTCTCTGCATGCCGGTCGCATATGCGAGCTTTGGTCCAGAAGTTTTGTCCATGTTTCAACCGCGTATGGACGACTTGAGTCGGATTAAGATGAATCTTCGTCTACGGACTCTCGGGGGCGAGCCCCACTGAAGCTGCCACCTTCCTTTACTACACTCTTTATTGCTTGATTAGTATCAACGGGTCGGATCGCGATAGTGCGATAGTAAGGTCTGGAGAGTGGACCCAGACAACTACTACTGTTTTTTCGAGACGCTCCAACTCAGCGTGTCTTTGGAACAAAAATACGACGAGAGGGTCGCTTATAGACCGTGTATGACCATCCCAGGAGTCTCCTGGTGGATGGCCCCTTCTTGGCCAGGAACAAGAAACACAGCTGAGGGTAAGCTGCTATCTTTGAAATTCAGCTAGTAGCTCTCGCAGCTCGCAGCAACTCTGTTATTTTTATAGAATTATAATTTACGAGAGTGGGGCTATCCCATTGGTAACACTCCTATCACAAAACTTGGTGCTTTAGAGGATTAGAGGATTGTCGGAAAAGTTTCTTGGTGAAAAATTATTAACCAAGGGGTTGGAGTGAGGACCGTTTGAAGTAAAGCTTAAGCAATGGTATGGGGTTGAATGAATTCTTTGTAGGTTGGAAAGCTTGTTTAACTATAGTTTGTTTTCATTTGTCCAGATTGGTTGTAGTAGCAATGTGAAAATTAGGCTCTGCTTTGTAGTGAAAGCTTAGGTCTGTTGTCAAGTAGTATTTTGAGTACTTTACATATATCGCCTGTTTAGTTATATTCATTAGAGTCGAGTGTGGAATTTCTATGTAAGTGTTTTCTCGTTGTAAAGTCGAAAATAGCAAAGGACATTGGTAACTGGGAGAGAAAAACAGTTGGAGTAGATTGGAAGAGAGGTGATGTGACGGAAAGAGAACGTTATTGATCGGATGTGGTTACGTTGATTATGATTTTTCCAATTTTTGGGACCATTCTTCCAAACAGGAGAGATGATGTTCTGGAGGTTTCTGAAGACAAATACTGAGCTTGCGCTAAGTAAGTACTGTATCGTGACTGATACGAATGTCCGCAGTGGATACTGAATAAAGAATGGGACCGGAGATGCTGCCTTGCGCCACCCGCTACGGCATAGTGAATTAGTGAGCAGTCGTTCCGATTCTTAATTGAAAGTTCCTCTTTTAAAAAAGGCAAAAATAGTTATATGTATTTATTTACAGAAAACAATTTATTTTCGAGTCTTATGTTGAACCAGGGTAAGTATGTGTATTGTTTGAGACCTGGGAAAGGATACCAGGACGATACAGTAAGCTATAAATCTATGATGGCAGGAAAATCGTAGTTAATAATTTCTAATATGCATATAATTGCACACTACTATAATATTAATGAACTAAGAACTTAACACGTCCAATTGCTTAATAATAATCCTAACTAAGTGGTATGGAAGTTTCATAACCAATTAACTGTGTTGTTTCAAACTAAACAGTGGCTTTTGGCCTTCAAGTTTAATATCAGTGCCAAAGTTGGCTCGAAATAAAGTCAATTTTGCGGTTTGAAGGTTGAAACTACCTGAGATAAAATTTTAACTCGGGTTCTCAAGTCGCTTCAACAAAAGTTCTTGACTTCGAGGTAGCTCAACTATAAATTATCTTAGTAGTAATTGCTGAGATAAAATTATATTTTTCGTCCTAAAGTGTGTTACCTTAGTTGTTCCAAATGATCTAATAAACTTGGTAGTCTTGAAGTTCGACGACATATTGTCCCTCTTAGTCTATAATCATATCGTATTTAAAATAACTCTTGTCTTTCCAATTTATTGCATATTTAGCACGTTTTAAATAAAATTTTTATATTTTGGCCCTTCTTTTTTTCTATCCGATTCACCCACACCCTTTATTTTCCCACTCGAAGAGGCTGTGGCAGGGACCTCCAAACCCCTCTATCGCTAAAAAGTAATAAAAAGATATGATCAAAAAGAAATGCCATCGCCAGTGGCACAGATCAGCAGAGAAGCTCCTACGTATCAAGAACTCTCATTCATAGATGACCTCGGATGATCAGAATCGTAGAAAATGAATCAACGCTAATGATAGGTTGACACAGAAATTTTCTTGGGTCGAAGCCCGTGTATGTGTACGGCATAGAGAAAGATGTGCCTCACTGAAGAATGACACTAGGCTCCAAATGTGAGCGTAGGAATTTCACCCTATACGAGAATTGTGGTTGAGCACGGCAGCGAGTATTTGGGTCCCCTGATCCGATTTTCGAGGAAACTGGCTTTTTATGGTTGATAGTACTGATCTTGTTTTGTGTTCCTTTTGTTTGTATGAAGGGTGAATGCATTTATTAGAGTGAATCTGTAGTTTGAGTTGACGTGGGTGGAAAAAATGCCACCTACCCCACATGACATAATAAAATAGAGTTAACTTAATAGAATCAGACAGGCACATTGAAGATGATAAGTTGCCTAAACGCGTCTGACAAAATTGTAAAACAATATGTTAGGCTTCTTCAAGCCAGTATAAATCTTACAAGGAGACGACCAAGTTGAAAGTCACGGAATTGTACGAAACGATTTTTGGTGATTCTAAACTCCAAAATGTCTTATACTATCCGCCACTGTTTGTTAACTAGCCCAAGTTTCGCCAAAAAGATTGTGAAAGTTCAAATTTTCAAGTTTTTAATAATTTTATTTCGCCGTTCTACATACTCAAAATCAATTATGTGAATGTATAATTTTACAGCATCTTTTATATAGATTGCAATAAAAATATAGTAAAAGCTATTGAAGTTTATCAATAACCAAAAAATTTCTAAATATCAATTATTTTTCTCTAGGAGCTAAAGCAAAATTTCATATTAGTTTCACGAAAAAAAATATGACCTAGTTTACTTGAAAAATATTTGGTTTTTAGAATTTTTTGTTTATTGATAAACTTTGATAGCTTTTACTATATTTGTATTGCTAACTACATAAAAAAGGCTGCAAAATAATATATTCATTTAGTTGATTTGAGTAAGTAGAACGGTGATATAAAAATATTAAAAACTGGAAAATTTCAACTTTCAATTTTTTCCTTTTTGGTGAAACCAGGGCCTATTCACAAGAACTGAGACATATATGTGTCCGATATTTTCGAAAGTAAAAACGCAAAAAAAAATATTTTGGTCCAAATCCGTGACACACCAACCTGGTTGCCTTGTTAGTGAATAACATTTCTTTGTACTTGTACTTATTAGTAATTTAAGTAATTTATTGTTTATGGTTTTTAGAGGTCTTTAGTGTCTTTAGTACCGTCTTAATTTTTAATTGTCAAATAAATTTGTTGAAGGCCGCAACGGTTTAAGCGTTGACATGGCGCTCATCATTGTAAGGTGAAGGTTCCAGGTTCGAATCCAGCGGCCCTTCATTCGAACCCGACATACTTTCCCGACTTTTTTTCAAAAACATCGGCACCCCGAGGGTCGATATTACCTCTGCTGACGCGAACTCTCGTAAAAAAAATATATATATATATATTTGTTACTTTGTTAGGATTTATTACTTTGTTTAGGAAAAGGTAAATTTGTTGAAATATTAGCATGCTGGCCACTCTGAACGCCGGCACACGAAGTCAAGCAAGACGAGTGTTAACAGTGAATGCAACCTTCTACTTACAAAACTTATTATTTAATGTTGACGATATTAACTTAATGAACAATAATTATTAGATTGTGTTTTAAAGATTTAAAAGGATGACTGCTTTATTGAAGAAAAGAGCTTTAGCTGAGTACACTCAGGTTTTGGTAAGTCAGGCTAAAAGAAAATCCAATTTTTAAACTTTATATAAGCATAAATCAAATTGTATTTATAATTGTGCCGTATAAACTTTACTTTTTTGATGCATTAACAGGTTGTGATTTTATTTATATTTTTTATTTTTAGGACCCAGTGCCCAAACCAATCAAGAAGTTAAGGCTCGTCAAGAAGCAGACACAAGCGTCAGCATCTCTTTACGTTGGCCTTTTGGAAAACAGCAAAACCAGCAATGACGCTCTCCAGCTTCTTTTTAGGATATCGGACTCACTCCAATTCAAAGTAATACACTTTAAAACATTACTGAATACTCAGGAAATGCATATCGCATTATTCACTATTGGTTTATTATGTTTGTTATTTCAGAAAGAGGATCTATTAGGGATTATAAAAAAATTGGCAAAACATTTCAGACAGCAGAATGAATCAGCTGTTCGCGTCAAGATTCTATCTCTGTACGCTAATATCGGCAGTTTGAAGAATGACGTCGAAGGAGTACGTTACACGATGTACCTACTTATCACAAAAAATGTGATTTTTGTTTAATTTTTTTAGACAATTATTGATCAGATAATGAAGTTAATTGAAAAAGAGACATCACATAAAGTTGTCGCTCAAGGGTTAACTACCATTTTGGAACTGTACAATAGCATGGATATAAGTGTAGCGTCGTACGAGTCTTTACAAAAAAACATATACAATCTTGCAAAATCGGTAAATTTTCTAACTGTATCCAATCAAATATCGTGTTATATTGTTCTATTCTTGTGTAGTTTCTCAAGGACACAAATCACTGGGTCAAACAGATATGTTTTCAAATAATCGGAACCATCAACTTGGAAGGTACAGTACCATTTATCGCCAATTATATACATAGCCAAGACGCTAGGGTTCGATGTGCCGCAATGGAAACATTGGTATGTGAAGAAACTATTTTTCATAAATCGTAAAATAAGATAATTTTTTTAACATTTAAAGGTTAAAGTGCAAGAAAAAGAGGTTAAAACTGAACAAATTCCTGTTTCATTATATCCCGATATATGTCAGGCGTTGAACGATGATTATGAGATCGTACGAGCTGCTGCTCTCAAAATTGTCTGCATAATTGGAATCACTTATTCAGAAAAGTATGTCTAAAATATTTTCCCCTTAGATAATTTGTAATGATTTTTATTAATTAATTTATTATTATTATTTTTTTTATAGTTTAGTGAAGGTGAACAAGCTCAATGAGGAAATCAGGCTGATAGACGACACATTTAGTAAAGTTTGTCACGCCGTTAACGATTTGAGCATGAACGTGAGGCTTCAAGCGATGCAGCTTCTCGGTTCGATGACGAAAGTATCGCCGACTTTTCTCAATCAGACTCTCGACAAGAAGTTGATGAGCAACATGAGGGTAATTTACGATTAAGATGATCGTAGAATCATGGAAATATATTTTTTTTTAATTGTAGAAAAAGAAATCTCTTCATGAAAGATCTAATGAAATGGTGACAAGCGGCGAGTGGTCTTCTGGTAAAAAATGGGCAGATGATGCTCCTAAAGAGCTTTTGCACAAAGATGAAGTTAATGTCGTATCGAGCGGTTCTTGTGGTGCTTTCGTACATGGTCTTGAAGATGAATTCATGGGTAAGATTAATACCTGTGATCTATAATAAAAATAAAATTAAAATAAATAAATTTATTTTTATTTTTTCTTCTCCACAGAGGTGAGAACAGCTTCAGTCCGTGCACTGTGCAACTTGGCTCTTGACCATCCGGACTTTGCGCTTGTATCCCTCGATTTCCTTGTCGACATGTTTAACGATGAGATCGAAGCAGTCAGAATCGAGGCGATAGACAGTCTTACGAGGATGTCACGTCACATTGTTCTGCGTGAACACCAGTTAGAAACGATACTCGGCGCCCTTGAGGTAGGTGCCTTCAACCTTAAGATGACCAATGTTAAGATATTTTTAATTTACGTTACCATAAATTCATGTTTTTTCCAACCAATTAGATCATTATTGAAAAACAGAAATTTTCAACCAAGCCAAAAAATATTTTAAATTTTTTATAACGCTTCTGTTCAAAAGAAATTCAGTCAGGCAATTTAAAAAGGACACCCTGTATGCGATAGACTTGTAGTTTGGTCCTTTTCAAACGTTTTGTCTGTTTCATCTTGTTATCATCTTTTTTTGGTGGTTTTAGATAAAACTATTAAAAATTAAAGGCAAGAAGCCGACACGTGTTACAAATCAAAACTGTGTGGATAGGTAGATGATTCAAAATGATTTAACAATACTATCACCCTTGTCCTTTAATTTTTTTAACCCATAACTTTTAGCTTATTTTACACTCCAGCTCCATACACTATCTATCAGGAATGTTAGGTTGCTTTGCCCTCTGCATTGGTGAAATCATTGGCTAATCTTATTTTTTTCTATTCAAACTGGGCTTTGAATCCCCCCCCCAAAAAAAAAAAACATTGAAAAAACTTTCTATTTGGATTGAAGTTTAACTAGTATAGATAATATAATTTAGTTTTTTTAAACATTTAATATTATTATTACCAAAAAATTGTGTAAAAATATTTTCCTTCTTTTCAGTCTATCAGATATTATATATTTATACACGCATGAATATACAAATATGTTTTCGGTTTTCCATTTGCATAAATAAAAATGTGTGGTGATTAGTGACCGTTAATCGATGATTATTCAGAGATCGTGAGATGCAGCCTGGTGTGATGGAAGTTTCAGAAAAACATTTTCTTTATCGTGTCAACATTTCGATCTTTATTGAGCTCATCTTCATGGCCTGGGATTTACAAACATTGTTTAAATTTAACAAATACATGTAGGATGTGGAAAAAAGTGAATTTATACAATGCAAAATATATTTTTTATATTCAATCAAAGTATTTCTACTCACTCAAAGTGTTTGTTTTCTGTGTAATTGTGCTATATCACTGAGAGTCAACACAACACGCAAGAATGGCACAATTACGCAGAAAACAAACACTTTGAGGGAGTAGAAATACAATGATTGAATATAAAAAATATTTTTTTGTATTGTATAAATTCACTTTTTTTCTTACATGTATTTACTAAATGTAAACAATGTTTGTAAATCCCAAGCCCTGAAGATGATCTAAATAAAGATTGAAACATTGGCAGGATAAATAAAATGTTTTTCTGAAACCTACATCACACCAGACTGCATCTCACAATCTCTGAATAATAAATAAAAATATAATTATTCGGAAATCGTGATATGCGGTCTAATCACCACACAAATAAAAATATATTTGATCCATCTACCTGGAATGTTAGGTTGCTTTATTATTTGCCCTCTGCATTGGTGAAGTGTCATTGGCCACTACAAACTGAACTTGGACCAAAAAAAAACTTTGTTTGGATTGATGTTTAACTAGTATAGATAATATAATTTAGATTTTTTTTAGATACTTAATATTTTACCAGGAATGATTGGTTACTGTAGTTTTTTTTTTTTTTTTTTTTTTAACTTGCCCTCTGCCTTGGTGATGTTATTGGCTAATCTTCATTTTTTGCTGTTACAAACTGGGCTTGAAACAAATTAAAAACTTTCTGTTTGGACTGAAGTTTAACTAGTATAGATAATATTATTTACATTTTTTAAACATTTAATATTATTATCAAATAAATTGTCTTGAAACATTTTCCTTCTTTTCAGTCTGTCAGATATTATATATTTATATACACATGAATATACATATATGTGTTCGGATTTCTGTTTGCATAAATAAAAATAGATTTTATGAATTTGATTGCAGCAAAATGTCTAACTAGATAATATAATTTAGATTGCTTTAAATGTTTAATATTTTACCAGGAATGTTAGGTTGCTTTATTACTTGCCTCTGCATTGGTGAAGTCATCGCCCGTTGGCTAATCTTAATTTTTTACTAACACAAACTGAACTTGGACCAAAAAAAATAAAAAACTTTCTGTTTGGATTGATGTTTAACTAGTATAGATAATATAATTTAGATTTTTTTAGATGCTTAATATTTTACCAGGAATGTTAGGTTACTGAAGTTTTTTTTTTTAAACTTGCCCTCTGCCTTGGTGATGTCATTGGCTAACCTTCATTTTTTGCTGTTACAAACTGGGCTTGGAACAAATTAAAAACTTTCTGTTTGGATTGAAGTTTAACTAGTATAGATAATATTATTTACATTTTTTAAACATTTAATATTATTATCAAATAAATTGTCTCGAAACATTTTCCTTCTTTTAAGTCTGTCAGATATTATATATTTATACACACATGAATATACAAATGTGTTTTGGGTTTTCTGTTTGCATAAATAAAAATATATTTGATTAATTTGATTGCACCAAAATATCCAACTTGATTTGCTTTGGTACTCTATGGATGAGTAGCCTCCCGTCGTAAGAGAGAAGGGCAAAAGTCCAAGGGTCTGCGCCAGACCATTCGGCAGCATATACGGAATCCTCCATAGCCGTGTATTGCTGCAGAGGCCCATCTGTGTTTTTCGCCGTAATCGGCAAAGGGTCCGACGCGACCGAAGCAGCCCACCAAAGCCGTCCGGACGCATCAGAGCCGGAGCTGAGGATTAGACCGTCATGCAGCGGGTTATACCTGACACACCAAGCCCAGTGTGAATGTCCTGACAGAGTCAAAAGTGGGTTAGTCAAAGCCCTCAAATCCCAGATTTTCACCAATCCGTCATCCCCGCATGAACAGAGTACATGTTGCCTGTTCTTATTATAGTCGATATCTCTATTTAAAAAAAAAAGAAATTATAAATTTCTTTTCAAAATGAAGTATGAAAGTTCATCAACCTGACAGCTTGTAAATGAGCTTGGTCAATTGTCCACGCCTCACGAGCAGATCTCAGATCCCACCCTTTCACCATGGTCTCTTGCAATGTAGCCAAAGAGGCACCACTTTCCTGCGGGTTCCATTTACCATTTGCAAATTTCTGACTGCCTGGAAAAGGCCATTGTTATCAAGTGTTGTGATGTAGGGCTCTTTTGAATACCTTTTCCTTGGATTGGTTTTGAAAAAACTTCACGTGGCGAGTCCTTGCTTATATCCCAGATAAAAAACTTAGAATCGGCTACCGTCAGAAATTTGGCATTGTCCGAAGGGTGGAAAAATGCGACCTATACACATAAAATATTCTTTTTGTACAGTATTAAAAAAACAAAGGTGTAATAAATGTAATATTTTGTCTTATGCATCTGATTATATATACATTTATAATGAATGTATACATTCATTTCCACCATTTTTATTTATAATGAATGGCTACGGTTAAGACTTGGGTAATATGCCATCTTCCAGGCAGACTACTCTGCCATGAAGGTCAAAAGGCTGAGTATTGTCAACTGAAGAATAGACTTAGATGGCCAGAAGGCACTAAAAACCTTGTCGGTAGCAAAGTCTAATAGACCTTGCGATGATTTGTAAATTGAAACAATTATTTCATAAAAGTTGTCAACTACAATTTACTCTGATCTCGTCGTCGCAATCTATGTTTGAGACAAGTTCGAGCGTATTCTCCTTTTCTGGCAGCGTCCAAAGACTACATTTTTGAACTGCAGACTCTTTCTCATCTATCATGTTGTAGCAACTTGAAATCAGCTGTGGATTATGTGCGGACCAGTGTAAATGCCACAATTCACCGACTGGATGCGGGTAGACCTGTGTAAACAAAAAATTATTTGCCCGTACTAGATTAACTTTAGTATAGTTAAGTGAAGCAACCTGTTGTGAAGTGATGCTGGCTTCATCGCCTATTTCTATTATGTGTATCTGGTTGTTTGCCAGCTTGAGCGTCTGCGTGCCGATCATAAACCTTGTGACATCACAGTCGACATTGTGCGGGGCAGTCTGCGTCGCTAGACTCCTCGCCTGTTGAAACATTGATATTATCTCATCTTTAAATTCACATATAATATTTTTATTTCTATTTTACTTGAAATTCCAGTCCATAAATTAGGTGTTCGTATTCTCCCGCTGTCATTTTCCTTCCTCCGTGATTTATTGTTCCTCTAATACCTTAAAAGTTAAAAACTGACAGCTTGCTTGCTTTTGTTGTTGATAGTGGAAAGTGAAACCTCCTTGTTTTACATGTTGACTCATCGCAGTACGTACTCTTGTATTACGTCATACTCGTCCATTACACTCCCCCACTTTTTGTTGGGAATTGATTCTATAAAAAACGTAACCAAGTATTTACATAAAAGCTATAAATAACTAGCTCCTTGTATAAATATGAAAATTATTTACAACTAAATTTGTCAATAAATAAGCAAAGATTACTTATAAAACTAAGGCTGTCTAGTGCTACGGAAATCAATTTTTTTGTAAATGGGGTCAAATATGTAATTGACACACAATCAATGTGCTCTTTGTGTAAATTGTTTGAAGAAGAGAACTTGGGACATATATTTTTAAATTTTCCAATGTACCAACCTCAAAGATCCTTTTATTTAAAGAAGTACATAGTTACATGTGTAAATAGTAACAATTTAGACAAACTTGAGTTCTTGCTAAAATTTGAAGCAAAAAACCAGGAAATTGATGTGTTCAATTTTAAGATGTTAAATGTGGCACCGTTCTTGCTGTGGAACTCCATAATGGTACTTTTTATAAATAAATAAAAGCCTTTATAGTTGGGCTGCTTTATAGTTCCAGCAGGTTTATTTACATGGGAAGCTTTTCAATTATTTTATAATCATCTTCAGCCCCTTAACTCACAGCCTTGTATATATTTATATATATATTTTTTACGTATGTATAAATATATATATATATATTTTTTTTTTTCTAAAGGTAGTTATATGAAAAAAAAATAACAAGGCTGTGACTTAAGGGGCTGAAGATGATGATAAAATAATTGAAAAGCTTCCCATGTAAATAAACCTGCTGGAACTAAAGGCTTATATTTATTTATAAAAAGTGTTCAATTTTGTTTATGAAGCCCTTAAATTGAGAGCTTTTATTGTCTTGTATTGTTCTTATGGAAGGCATCGGGGGACGATAGTTTCCGAGTCGGCTATTCTGATTATAGTTGGGTTCCGTCTAATGTTTTGGGCCTATATTTATCCCATGGCTTCCTTGGCCGTTTAGGTGGCTGGAGATTTTTATTGTATTTTTTGGGGATGGTAGTGTATATTTTGTTAATACGGCCGGGAGCATAATAGTTGTTATCTCGGGTTTGGGGATTAACTTCCCTTGCTTAGGTTTGTTGCTGTATTGTGTATTAAAGTTTCGGCCGTTTGTACCTCGCGAACTGAAATCATTGTTGCTATTAATTACCACCATTACCAGGGTACTAAATCCAATTAATATTGCATATAGGGACACAAAGTTTTAAAACTTCTACGCAATCGACGTGTCTGTGCACGTTTCAATCCTGCAAAAACCTGCAGGTTACAAGAAAAAAAAATTCTACTGGGGACTCAAAATTTTTGCTTTTCTCTTTTCTGTGGCAGGGGATCTTTCCACGTTCAAGCTACTAGGTGTTAGCTTTGCCGAGAACCACGCTCTGCTACCAGGTGTCAGCTTTGCTCTATCTTGCGACGGACTTCGGTTACCTAAACTTACCTTAAGTCCGGGAAATGGCTCGCAGTTTCCAAAGCCCATGTACAGCGAAATCAGCAGAGTGCGCTGTGATGAAAACGTAGGGGAATTAAAATAAAGAAAAGTAAAATGAAAAGCAAAAGTAAAACAAAACCTTGTTGACCAAAAATAAATTTATTACTTCAATGGTAAAATTTATATAAACTAAAAATAAATAGGCCTCAAACTTTCTTGTGGCAATTAATAATTAATAAATGATGATTGAGCGAACGGAGGAGCTTAATCGGTGGAGACAAAAAAGCACTTACGGTTTAACCAGTTAGAGAAGCTAGTATCAGTCCGCTGCAGAGATCAGGAGGCGAGAGTATATTAGCCCGAAATTTAATTCACCTACCTTCTGTGATGGCCCACCTAAACGTGTCCTTAGGCGACCCCTAGCGCCTCGTGACAAGATAAAAAAGTCAGTGTCACGAGTGAGATTATTGTGAGAATGAGTCAACGAGATCACCGGCAACTGGATATCGCACAGGCAGTTCGCGTTTCTCAGGGCGTGTTCTCCTGGGCTTAAACCCGATTCCGTGAGACTGGAAGTGTCAATAGGAAGCCTGGTAGTGGATCGCAGCGCATTACTGCGCTAAGGAAGGACAGAAATATTGTCATTGCTGCAAGACGCGGCGTCTTATGGCCCTTTGAGACGACCTGCAGCAAAGCCCACCACCAGCAACTCAAGAGAATGTGGTGCAGCGAGCGCCTAGAAGGAAACAGCAATTGGAATGCTGTTATGTTTACAGAAGAGTGGCCTTTCTATCTGTGTAGTGTTAGAAAGCTACGAAGAGTGTACCGAGAACAGGGGATGCGTACAATGCTTTCTTCGTGCCCCCTTCAGTTGTTCCTTAGTACCGGAGGACGAATTGGACTCCATGTTGTTGAAGGCAGCCTCACCGTAGTCCGTTATGCCCAAGAAATTAAGGGATTTTCGATTTCTGGGCGGCAGTGCCAGACTTCATAGAGGCAGAATTGTTCATCAATGTTTAGAAAACCTGGGAATTTCCCGTATGACCCTTCCTCCAATGTCTCCACATCTCAATGCCCATGAGCACATGTCGGATGCGTTGCAGAGAAAGCTTTTCGATTACCATCCGCGCCAGTGCAGAGGTGCACCATCTGTGGAGTGAAATTCCTTATGAAATTAGTGACAACCTTAATAACAGTATGCCTAACAGGTGCATAGAGGTCCTTTTTAAAAAGATAGTTCCTACTCACAGTAAGTTGCTTTCCATCGATCCGGATTTCGAGCTTTTAGCTCATCATCAGGTTGAAGGAGTTCTACAACCACGTCTCGGCATGAATTACAAACGTCTGTCAAAAGTCTGCAAAAGTCAAAACTCAAAAGTGTCAAAAGTACTTTTGTAATTCATATCGAGAGACGTAGTTGTAGAACTCCTTCAACTTGATGATGAGCTGATAGCTCGAAATCCGGATCGTTGGAAAGCAACTTACTGAGTAGGAACTATATTTTTAAAAAGAATTGAACACCGCACTCACTCCACCATTCATCATTTCTATTGGTTCATAGAGGTGTTAATCTAATAGAGGACTTTATACACTGTATTAATGGTTTAAAAAAATTATTGTGTCCCATAAACAAAATTAAGTAATTAAAACCTTTTGTTATCTTTCAAAATCCCTTAACTACATTGTTCTGCAGCAAAAAACATAATACTTTCTAATTATTTTAATGAAATTTATCATAAAAATAAAATAAAAATGGTAAGGAAAGTAAATACTACAAAATTGGCAAAATGTCTATTCATTTTTTAGTAGTTTAGTTATTACAACCAGATAAATTTCAGATAGGAAAATCGTCTCGTATGAGTATGTGATGGGATAAACAAAATTACTAGAGTAATGATTATTGATTTATATAAGCTCAACTCTGCACACGAATGAACATCTTAAGTAACTAGCCAAAACTAGCTACATTTATAACAAATTATCGGGGATGTGGACGCCACACATCAGAGATTATAAAACTCATGAGATCAAAAGGACTATAGTATTATCCATTAAGCAACATTCAAATCAAGAATAGATTATTTAAGTTGAATTTTATTTACTGTGAGTGTTTTTTACAAAACGCAAGTTGTATTCATTCGCGTACTAACTTACAAACACACGTATATAGAGTTGAGCCTAACCTTTCTCGCAGTCCGCAACTCCTACTTTTATAATTTAGCTGTTTATGTTTTGTTTCAGAGCATTATACATATAAAATCGGGATAGTTGTATCACCATGGATATCGAGAATCACCCCCCCCCCCGGGTATTGGCAGTTCTAGGTCAGATCTGCGATAAACCAATTCATTTTGAACACAAAATCATCAGTGACAACAAATCAGTGTCCTATATACTATAATGCAAAAATCTAACTAAACATTGTACGGTGTTTAGTGACCGTTAGTTAATGATTATTTGGAGATCGTGAGATGCGGTCTGGTGTAACGTAGGTTTTAGAAAAACATTTTCTTTATCGTGCCAACGTTTCTATCATTATTGAGATCATCTTCAGGGCTTAAAGTGTTTGTTTTGTGTGTAGATGTGTCATTCTTTTGTGTCGTGTTGACAGTGCCAGTCTGGCATGAAGATTATCTTAATAAAGATCGAAACGTTGGCACGATAAAGAAAATGTTTTTCTAAAACCTACGTCACACCAGACCGCATCTCACGATCTCCAAATAATAACTAAACAACATCTGGTGTGACGTAGGTTTTAGGACAACATTTTCTGTAACGTGCGAACGTTTCGATCTTTATTGAGATCATCTTCAGGACTCAGAGTGTTTGTTTTCCGTGTAGATGTGTCATTCTTGTCTGTCGTGTTGAGAGTGGATAAGAATGACACATCTACACGGAAAACAAACACTTTGAGTCTTGAAGATGATCTCAATAAAGATCGAAACTTTAATTATTCAGAAATCGTGAGATGCGGTCTGGTGTGATGTAGGTTTCAGAAAAGCATTTTCTTTATCGTGCCAACGTTTCGATCTTTATTGAGATCATCTTCAGGGCTCAAAGTGTTTGTCTCCTGTGTAATTGTGCCATTCTTGCGTGTCGTGTTGAGAGTGCCCTTTGTTTGTAAATGTTTTTCTGAAACCTACATCACACCAGACCGCATCTCACGATTTCTGAATAATTATCGATTAACGGTCACTAATCACCACACAAAGATCGAAACGTTGGCATGATAAAGAAAATGTTTTTCTAAAACCTACGTCATACCAGACCGCGCATCTCACGATCTCCAAATAATAACTAAACAATATTACCAAGAGTATATCGAGACCCTCCAACAGTCAAAGTCTACTGAAAGTCCTACCAATTCTGGAAATATGTAAATTCAAAATCCAATTCGGTTGTCGAGCAATAATAAGGTCTTATACACTGTCTCACTACTTTTAAACGAGTTAGATCGGACTCTTCATGTCTTGAGGGTCGAAAAGATCTCCATTATTTGACTTGGGGTTTAACTTCCCTCATTTTACAATTTCTATTCCATACCAAATTCGTTGCCACGCTAGCCATATCATTTATTTCGAGTGAGAGCTTTTAACTTAAAAAATCCTTTGTTGTGCACTGTTTCAGTATATCTAGGTTTTCTTGATAGAAGGAATTAACAATGAAATGGTGCCATAATTATGAAAGCCAATGAGATAAATACACAAACATTGAATAATTTTAATTCAAATAATTACTTTAATAATTTTATTCACCAAGGACCTTTTTTTCAACCCTATAGAATGAATAACAGTGAAAGCCTAAAAGTGAAAGATTTCCATGCTGTGTATATAAGAGGTCTTTTTCATCGGATGAGTAGTCAATTTTGACAGCCTCTATCGCAATAATAATAGACCGGATAGAAGAGTGACACGCAGGTTGAACACAACAAATTACACGGTCGCATTTACATTTATAATGTCTGTCAATAATGGCTCGCTCGTTTCAGCAATGGATGGAGGTGTTTAATTGCTATATTAATCGAGTTTACTCCGAATTAATTCTTATAAGTTTATTTATTTATTTTTTTTTTGCATCCGACAGCTTGGTCATTTCATCCCCGAAACACTAGCAAAATATCGCAGCACGCTAGATACACACACGCACACACCCGATCACACCAATAAATACATTCATACCTATTTACATTGATCGCACTCATACTGTTTGGTAGAGGGAGTACTCGATATTCCTCCATCTACCTCTTCCCTATAATAGACTACTCTAATTTGGGGTCGATGGGGTACTTTAAAAATTTTCCGCCGTAGACCCAAGTCACTCATGCAACATGAGGGGCGATCGAGATGCTACTTCACCATCAGCCCCTCTCCATTCACACCAATAAATACATTCACACAAAAATAAATTGATCACACTAATACTGTTTGGTAGATGGAGTACTCGATTTTCCTCCATCTACCTGTTCACTAAATTAAGTAATCTAAATTGGGGTCGATGGGGTATTTTATAAAATTTCCGCCATCTGCCCAAGTCATACACACAACCTGAGAGGCAATGGAGAAGCTGCTTGGCCATCAGCCCCACCCCATTTATACCAATAAATACTTTCACTCATACAAGACACAGAAACACAAAACACATAACTTGACTCTATATACAATAAAAAATTTCCAATTCCCTTAAGAAGCGGAATAGGGGAACCTGAAACCCGCTGCTGTGTCCGAGAACCCTCTTTAAATCTGGCGGCATGCCTACTCGCGCCCTGAAGGGAGCCAAGGCACGACACGCTTTGACTATGTGGACACATCGAGCAACCTTTCTCTGCATAACGGATACCTGCGGGGGGATTGGCCCAGCTCCATGTGTCAACCGAGTATGACCTATTCTTAATCTGGCAAGAACTATTCCTTCTTTTGGCTCAGATTCTCGGGGGGCCATCTGCAGGTCGTGCACTTAACACGAAGAATCCTCTCGTATGACCCTGCCCACTGACGCTGCCATTTATCTCTTATCATCTTTTTTACAGCTCGTTTAGCGTCAGAGGGCCTGATCGCGATGGTCCGGTCGGGAGGGTGAGACGTTCCGGCTTTCGCCGCCGCGTCGGCGCGTTCGTTACCCTCTAGGCCGATGTGTCCAGGGACCCAGACAACAACCACCGTTTTTCCGAGGCGCACAATTCGGCATATATTTATAGCAAGAGCCCGACCACAGAGAATCCGTCACGCAGCGCCCAAACAGTGCTCAGAGAGTCGGTACACACGAGGAAGGCTGAACCCTCCTCGGTCCGCACCGCCTCGAAAGCGTGCCAAATCGCGTACATTTCCGCCGTGTATACGCTGCAGTGCGGAGGCAACGACTTGGCCGCTCCCTCGCTATACACGCACACTCCACACCATCGTCGGTCCTCGTCTGTAAAAACGAGAAGAAAACCGGCGTATCTGTTTTTAAGTTCATAAAATTTAGCTTTGTAGAGGTATGGGGGTGTACACGATTTGGGCAACTTGACAGATCGTCACGGTGTAAGTCTATCACCCAGACGAAGCACCGTTCCCAGGGCCAGTCCAGCCCTCCGTAGGGCTTACCGAAGCGAATCCCGAGGGATCGCGTCCGCGATCGAAACGATATAAGTCATATTATTGATCATTTATTAGATTACTGTTCAAACTTTTTAATTTTATCAACTTTTGGTTTTCTCAACATTTGGTCTAGATTTATATATATTGATTTATTTTTACAGGATTATTCTATCGACGTGAGAGAAGGCTTGCACAGGATGCTGGCTGCCTGTTTCTTATCTACTAAGTCCTGTCTCGAAATGTGTGTCGAGCACCTGCTTGAAAATCTGAAAAAATATCCTCAGGTTTGGTGTTGTTTTATGCAAAATATCATTATCATTTGTAACGAAAGAATTTGGTACCTTTTATTCAGATACGTGTCGGGTGTGGCAATAATAAAAATATTATTACCAGATCTTTTCTTCGCAGTGGAAACAATAGAAATAAAATAAAATCCACATTACAAAATATATATATTTCTTTCTTTAAAGTAAACAAACCAAATTAAATTATTCAAAATAAAATAGAAAAGTTTCAAATAAAATAATTCTACTGTTAAATGTTTGATTGTATAAGTAGTAAATGTAAACGCCACAACTGCTCTCAAGCTACTACTCGTTATGGTGAGAGCAGCGCTAGTTTCTCTAACTATTTGATTGGAATTTATTTCAATTTATTATTTTTTTTGTGTAAGGTTTTGGTTGGGATAAAAAATTTAATGTCACGAGGGGGATTCGAACCCACAACCTTCTGCTCATTACGCCGCTGCTCTAACCGCTTGAGCCTATAGTGGACTGGTTGGTTTTGGTTAGATCAGCGTGTATTGAACCGAAGTCCATGGGTTCGAATCCCGCTCGTAACACTAACTTTTCATCTACACCAAGACCTTACGTAAAAAGAATAATTAATGAAAATAAGTAATTTGATCAATTAGACCAATAAACATAAATGGATTAACATTTAAACTGTTTATATTTTTATATAATAAAAACAAAAATTACAAAACTTTTTGATTTAACAAATTAAAGAAATACAAAATGAGAAAATATAATAAAAATAAAATAATATTTGTTTTATTATTAATAATAAATTAACTTGAAAAGTACAACATTAAAAAAGACAAAAAGTTTTTGTACTGTTATTTGGTATTTAAAATTTGTTATCTATGTTGTAAATATTTCAACTGTGTACGTAGGATAAGCAGTCGACATGGCAATGTGTCAAGGAAATAGGAAGCAAGCATTCAGATTTAACTTTGTTACTTGTACCTCAGCTGTTGGCAATTCATCCTTTCTTTGACACTCCTGAGCCTGACGTCGAAGACCCACATTGTATCCTTTTGCGGTTAACTATCACCATTATTTTTACGTTGTTTTCCTTAACATTATTTTTTTTAGATATAACACTGCTCATTTTGGTTTTCAATGCTGCTCAGCATTGCCCAACAATGTTGCAGTTGTTCGAAGAGCATACCATCAAGCATTACAGTTATCTTCGAGTGACGCTTCCGTCCCTTGTACCACATCTGAAGGTATTTCAATATTTAACTTTAACTGTTCGATTTATATTTTTTTAAATTATATCCAGTTGCCCGGCGCCGCTGAATTTGTCGAACCCGAGATGTCAAACGCAGGAGCTGAACTGCTTTGGCGTCTAGTCGATTCGTTGTCCACCGGGGCTCGGGTACAGAGCGAAGTCATACAAAGATCCCTGCCACAGCTGGCGAGGTTAGCGGAAATCGACTCGCAGATCGCAGGACCGGCCGAGTTCATCACTTTGTTCATATCCTGCCAGGTGAGCCTCGGGAAAATCCTGAACGACAAGCTTTGGTGCTGTAACGCACCCAACACCGTACAAGGCAGTGCGGTAAAGAACAACATCACTCAACTTTTGCACCTTTGCTTAAGGTGAGACATTTCAACCTTTCAATGAACCAATAATTGAACTCGACCAAAAGCTAATAATGAGAGATTAACTTTTAATTTTTTGACCTTTTTCAACATTTGTACCTATTATCTTTTAAATATTATATAAATTTTCTTAAAAATTTATATCATAACAGATTATTAATTTAGGTTACAGTATCTGTTTGTTGGCCTCGAAAAGATCGAACTTGCTGCGGTGAAACAGTTCCAACTGAAAGCTCTTGCTCTTCATTTGGTGTATGTCGTCAAAGCGACCAATCTTTCTGCGCTTGCACTATGCGAGCATTTCCTCATCAAAGTCGAACGCACGCAAAGGTAATTGATTTTTTTTTCAAATTATGTCACTACTATTTTTTTTTTTTGCTCTTTAAGGTATCTTTTGAAAAACAATGTTCAACCGGATGAATTTTGCAAAGGGGTCTTTCTTGCCATGTCCAGCCTGGATGACACAAAGCCTGGAGCTGTTGCCAGGTGCCTTCTACCGCTTTTGGACATCGCTAATAAAATTCAACCCCCTAAACCCAACATAGGGGTAAGTGGCTTTTTTTTCAATACAGAAGAAACCACAACAAATTTAATTGAGGTCTGGTAATTTTTTATTCTTTTACATTTCTGGCATAAATAATCTAAAATACCCAAGATTTATATACACCGACAGGCAAAAATTCCACCCACTTGTAATTTAACTTGATTTATATATTAATCAAAGTTTCACGTTTTTTAAACTTTAATAATTGAGTGTCAAAAAAAAAAAATTGCTAAGGAAAATGAAAATGAAAAAAAATTTTTAAAAAAGATGGACAGGTAAAATTTGTTTTAATTTTGTTCTAAATTTTTAATTGTATTTCAATATCGCGCATTTCTTCCTCTTGCCTTAATTACACCTCAACGACGCTTCGGCATACTTTCTACCAGTGTTCGCCAGCCAAATTCAAAATTGCGCCGACGAACACCGCCGGAGGGAGTTAATAAGAAGATTTTTTCGGCACCAACGGGAATGGAAGATTCCCGATTGAATAAGGGATGTTAGTTTAGGAATGGTTAGATGAAGGAATAAATAATGAACGAAAGGAGTAATTGAAGACTCACTGTTTTAATTAAATTTCTATGGCTTACAAGATGGCCGATGATCGTATTGGAGATGTGAAAGAGATGACGTTCTAAAGGCGATGAATCCCTCTGAAGGCGATGAAGACTGGAAAGCGGTGAATATCTCCTGAATGCGATATCGTGCGTTGTTCAGCAGTGATTAGGCCGGTATACCTACCTGGTTCCTGCAGCGTCGTTGATGATGATGATGGATGATGCTATCCAGTGGCGATGAGAATGAGCGAGGCAATCCAGGTAGTAGCCAGTGAGATGATGGAGTCTTCGGGGGATAATAAAAGGATGATTCGTTCGCGGGATTATAATGATGATAGATGGAAGGAGATGATATATTAAGGGAAAATGGCGATGATAGGTTTGTGGACCATGCGGTCGTGAGATGGGGCGCACGCGGAGTGAAGATCGTATGGCGATTTGAAGGGGAATCCGTGGGGATTCGCGTGGCGAGGAAAACTTTAAGAAGCGGCGATCTTACACGGATGTGAATTACTATGGCGCAACATTTTAGGGAGATAGGACGATAGAAGGTGTGCTCGCTCCGAGAGCTGGCGGAGAAGAGAGCCCGAGAGGGCTGGAGGAAGGGATGGATTTTTGAGGAAAAAGGAGGGAAGTGTATTACGATTGTTTGTTTAGTTTGTTTCCTTCTGAAGTTAATAATATACTTAAATACCCTAGTAGAAAATCCCCTGGACATGACTTAATTACGTCTACTGTACTTCGAAACCTTTCTTATAAGGCCGTTGTATTTTTAACAACAATATATAATGCCACGTACCAATCAAGTTACACTCTTATGGATTTATTCTGTAGTCTCGTTCCTAAAGCCCACACCCCACCCAACTACAGATTCATCAGCCTTTTTCCTTTGATGTCAAAAATCTTTTTTAAACGTTTAAATCATTCTAGATTCACAATCATTCCTTACCGCCACTTTTCTGTCCCGATTCAGCAAGGTTTTAGAGTCGTTGATACCATTTGCTTTCTAGAGAACAAAGAGACTTGGGTTCGTTCCTGTTTATACAAACTTAAACCTTTTCTATCCACACCTTATTAATACCGTGGAACCCTATTTAACTGTCCACTACTTCAAAATGAGGTGCGACAGCGAATACTTAGGAATCACACCAAACAAGCCGACGTCCCACAAGGGAGTATTCTCGGACTCTTATTATTTATACTACTGACTTTCCTATATCCCGCGACCACCGATACCACAATATCGTCTTCTAACTTTGATCATACTGTAAGCAACAACCTTCAGTATCCAAGAACACAGCGTACTTATGGTGCAAAAGGTGGGGGACACCTTTGTACCTCCATTGTAACAAGTATTGTAACAAGTACATTTGCACTTACTTCATCTCAAGTTAGATAATTAGTGTGGGTAGGAGATTCGTCACAATACCTAATTAACAATAAACTTTCTGTGCCGAAATCTGTTTTGAACTCAAAACCTAACTAAATCTTTACAAGACATTTTACGACCATTTTGGACAGACCGAGTGGCTTTACGGCCGTCCAACGCATCCAATCCTTCAAAACAAAAGTACTCCGATCAATTTTCAAAGCTTCTCACTACTTCACTAATTGTTCTACTTTTATTTACCTATTCAAATCTTTTCAACGTCCATGAAGAGCTATTTCATCCCCGTGCAAAGTTTTTATATTAAATTAGAAAAAAAAATTGTGAACAGATTTGGCCCTGGTAAAAGCCCTCGAGGAATTACAACAGCATAATTAGGACACACTATGTTATATAAAAATATCCTCCTTTAAGTATGTACACTAATTTTGGCCTAATCAGAGAGTAATGTCAGTTTTTTGGTAAATTTGAGTAGATTCCAACTCACTCAATGCACTTACAAACACCCTCGCTCCTTCACAACAACCCGCTCATTAACTAACATTCTGTCATTAATTAAATTACTAAAACCTACGTACTCATTCATTTACAAATTTTTACTCACTAACTTTGTCACGGACTCATTGGCATAAATAACTTGCTCAGTCCTTAATAATATTCATTCACTAACTGACTGTTTTCTGACTAATATGTTTTCATTAATTAAATTACTAAAGCTTAGCTAATCAATAATTTATGTGGAGTTTCAATCTTCGTGGAGGTCATTAGACAGGTGAAGAAAGGAAAAGACTAATTGTTGGGTTCACCAAGCTTTCGGCAACTTATAGTGCCATCATCTGGGCTTATTTATTAAAAATTAAAAAATATAAAAATAAATAATATGCAATTAACAAAATAAAATAATGTACATATTTTCCCAAAAGTGCAGAAAACTATTAACATGGTAAAACTATTGTAAAAACGTCTTGGGTTTAAGGTTATGAAGCACATGACCAGCAAATTACATTAAAAATGGTGAAAACAGTCATCTGTATAAACTTATCAATAATTATTAATATACACTATTTAAATGAACAAAAACAATAATTTATAATTTGTTAATGTTGTTGTTAAATTTGTTAATTAAAATAGTGTATATTAATAATTATATTCACTAATTTCGTGGTCCGCTTGACCAATCAATATATTACAATTAATTAAGGGTTTTAGTTGAGATAAAAAAGTCAGTGTCACGAGCGGGATTCGAACCCACGATCTTCGGCTAGATACGCCGCTGCTCTACCACTTGAGCTATCGTGACCTCGATCCACTCGGACACCAACTTCCTATCTCAACCCCACCTTTTGAATTTTCCCTCCTTTTTGCCATTTTTCAAATGCAAATCGTGGGTTCGAATCCCGCTCGTGCAATTGACTTTTTTATCTCAACTAAAAACATTAATTAATTAATAATTATTTATAATTTTATATAGATGACTGTTTTTACCATGTTTAATGTAATTTGCTGGCCATGTACTTCATAACCTTAAACCCAAGACGTTTTTACAATAATTTTACCATGTTAATCGTTTTCTGCACTCTTGGGAAAGTATGTACCTTATTTTATTTTGTTAATTGTATATTATTTATTTTTATATATTTTAAAAATTTTAATAAATAGGCCCTGATGGCTAGGCACTATAAGTTGCCGAAAGCTTGGTGAACCCAACAATTAGTCTTTTCCTTTCTTCACCTGTCTAATGACCTCCATGAAGATTGAAACTCCACATAGATTATCTGCAGGAAGATCAGCAAACATCATATCTTTAATCAGTAATTTATAAATTCTTACACACTAACCTTGTCACTAATTGCTTCACATAACTTACTAACTCTCTCATTATCTGAAAATCTTGCTCATTCAGTCATTGAATAATTTACTCATTAATTCACTCAGTAATTAACTCACTTATTCACTGACTGTGAATTGTCTGTCACTTAATTAACCAACTCACTGAAAAACTTAATCAATCTTTATCAATTTGATCAATCTTTAACTCGCTCACTAATAATTGATCTTATTTGACTGATAGCTTATTCGTAAACTAAGCTTGCTAACTGACTAACATATTTGTGTCGGTTTGCTTGTTATTGAGTTTGATTGAGTTAATTAATGAATTATCTACGGCTTGTGAATTATTTGATTATGTCATTGGTTGAGTGATTGATTGAGTAATGAGGACTGTTAGTTGGTTAAATAGTAGGAATGTAATTGATTGAATCGGTCAGTTAATCAGTGAGTTTGTTAGTGAATGAATGAGTTTATTAGTAACTGAGGAGGCGTGTTAAGTCGCGAAACTAAATAGTGATTGCGTCAGTGATTTGGTTACTTAGTGAATGAGTTAGCTAATTAATGAGTAAATTTTAAAGTGAGTTATTTACTCATTTCATTTGATAATTAGTGCGTTTGTTAGTAATCGGTGAGTAGGCGTGTTAGAGTGGAAGAATTATTGTAGTAATTGATTGTTTCCGTGAGTTCGTTAATTACTGATTTTAGTAAATGATTGAGTAAACATTTTTAGTAAATGAGTAAGATATAGTGTCCTTGAGTTGATAGTGAACAAATGGAATAATTAGTAATTGAGTGAGGAGGCTTAGTGTTAGTTATATCGAGTAAATAATTGTATTAGTAAGTTTGTTAGTGAATGAGTGGGATGATTGAAAAAAGAGGCGTATCAGAACAAGAAAGTAAGTGATATTGTCCGTCAGTTAGTTAGTATAAGTAGTAAGAAGCGTATAGTCGGTTGTGTCAGTGAGGTAGTTAATGAGCGACTAAGTTTGTTCGCTTGTAAGTAGGTTAGGAGTGATTGAGCAAGGTTTCTTATTGGTTTTGTTAGTGAACTTATTAAAAATACCTTTTTTGTCGTGAAGGTAAGGATGTGTAAAGCAGTGCTCACAGGGTCTTCAAGCTCTCCGGACAACCCGATCAAATTCACAGCCGGGCTTGTCATGGCGACGCCCATAGACGCGGAAATCACCGGGCTCCAGGACCCGACATCCCTCAGGATCAAGATCCACTACCCCGACCACCAGACGCACGTGTGTGTCCCGACTAATGACCACCTCAGGCCGACCGGTATGACTTACAAAGAATTTAGTCTTGCAGTAGTTGAACATATATTTTTTCTCAGGAGGGTTTGGCAACTACAGGCTGCTGACGAAGGCCCTCGTCTCACACGGTGTCTGGTCCGAAGCCTGCTACGTCGAGATATCCTTGTGCATTGAACTGTCGGAGAACGAGTTTGCTCACAGATCGCAATACAGCCTGGATCCCTACCTGGAATTGTGCAAACCTCTCAAACTCTACGTTCTTCCTAAACCAGTTAAAAGAGGAACATAGAAACTCAATTTTGAATTCAACAACTATAAAAAAATAATTTTCTTGTCTGTAAATATTGTCATTTTTAACTAATAAAAACAATTTGCCTTTTTTTCGACGGCTTTCTATGAAGATATAACAGTGTAAATATTACATTTACGATTGTATATATTTTAAAAGATTGTTATTTAACCTATCACAAATATATTTTTACATTATTGTTCTTACGTTTCAATTCGAATACTCCTTAACATTTTTATATTTTAATATTGTGAGGTTTATATTGGTACTACTTTTTGATTATTTGTGAATTATTAAAAGCTTCATTTAATTATTGGATGCCATAGTGAAGTGAACACGAAATGACGAAATTATCCTTGTCTTGTGCATGGACTTACCAGTACAGACATAGTTAAAAGAACGTACAAACAGGAACTTGGTAAGCAGACAATTTATAAAAACTTAATTAGTGAAAATTTTAACAAAAATCTATTTTGCATTTTTACTTGTTATTCATGCTGTACACACTTTTTACATTTACGTGGTAGCAGTAAGTGTGTGTTTGTGCTGAGTTTATGTGTATGTGATGATTCTCTCTCTCTCACTCTCTCTATCTATCTCTCTCTCTCCTCTCTCTCTCTCTCTCTCTCTCTCTCTCTCTCTCCCTCTCCCTCCCTCCCTCCCTCTCTCCCTCTCTCTCTCCTCTTTCTTTAATGGCTTTCCCTTATCAGGTCTATCGCTGGCTCTCTCTACCTATTTTTTCTTTCTAGGTCTTCCTCCTACCTCCTATCAGACTACTATATATCGTTCTCTATCTATCTGTCTTTCTATTTATCTGCATATCTGTTTATTTTTTCTAGATTTCTTCTCTTTTCTGTACTCTCCCAATCTTTCTCTCTTCTTTCTTTTATTTTTTCTCCCTTTTCTTTCTCCTCTCTCTTACTCTCTCCCTCTCCCCTTTCCATCTCTCTCACCCTCTCCCCTTTCGCCTATCCCCTCTTTCTCTATCCCGCAATATCACATTCTCTCTGGTTCTCCCTCTCACTCACTTTATTCATTTATATTTTGTATATGCCCATCATCTTATTGGTCTGTCAGACGTATTTCGGCATCTCGTCATTTTCAACCACTAATCTAACAAATAATATTCAGGCGAAACTACTTCGAAGTGTTGCAGTTTAGTCCTACCTCATTCTCAGAGTTCAGATACTGACAATTGTCTTTTTTCAGATAACGGCCTAATGGCGATTTCCGGCTGTGACAAGCATTTCTGCGATCAGTGCTGCAGACCCTTCCGGGACAAGTACGCACTCGCCGTTCACCAGAGAACGCATACAGGAGAGCGGCCATTTTCGTGCGGAATCTGCGGCAAGACTTTCAAGCAAAAAGGACACGTTAGCAAACACCTACGCTCGCACTACTAACCCGATTTCATCGACGTTTTGTACATAACGCAGTCGTTTTTTGTATAATTAATTACGACATAGACTTTTATATATCTTTTATACAATATATTTTCATGTTTCCAATAAATTATGTATTTTTATGTTTTTTGTTGGTGGTGTCAAAATTTGTTTCAAGATGATAAAGTTTGGACAAACCTGATCGAGTGTAGATCCGCCTCCAATTTAAAACTACCTCCTTTCACCAATAATATGAACGTTTACTATTTCACTCGAATAATTATGATGATACATGATTAATCCGATATACGATGAAATTGTTTCGAAGATGTTATTTTCTATTAGGAGACAAACCTCCCTTTGATGTATTCAATTTCAGAAAATGGTTCAAACCATATTTTACGCCTAGGGAAAACAATTACGAATTTTCCCTTAAAAACAAAATGGAAGAATCTTTCATTAAGGGGCGTGGAAGACCGAACGTGGGCAAAAGCTGACAGAACGGTGGGAGGAGCTTGAACGGTCAACGTACTGATCAGCATGGGGTAGAGCTTCCATCTAACAAATACTTACAGTTTCTTATTTTAAATTTTAAACTATTCATTTTCTCGAATTTTGTTGGTTTTACTACGATTTGGGATAGAAAATTTACTCACAAACATAGCGCAGGCCTATTTTATCGTCAATTTTATTTTGTAATTAGTTGAACTTTCATGCTTTCCTGATTTTCTCTGTTTTCACATTAATTTATTAAAAACAAGCCTGCAGTGTGCACCCGACGATCTTGGATTCCCCTAATAGACAAATTTAGATTTCTTACCTATTTTATTGACGCCAGAAGGCAAAAATGGTTTTTCGTATCGCTGCCATTTAATACAATTCACTTGGTTTCATTTCACATACATAAAACCTGTAGTAATGGAAGTTTTCCTTTAAAACAACGAACTATGTCCAGGCTCTCCCCTCCATGGTAGAGGCAGAAAACCGAGGAAGGATAGTTCAGTCTAGCCTAGGCATTGGAAGAAAGAAAAGACAAAAGAAAAAAATCCAGCTGAAAGCCAGTCAAATCAGATTTGTATCCACTTTGATTTTTATTAATATAAATTATTTCTGTTGTGTAGCCCATTTTCATTTATGGTTTTGTTTTTTGGTATTTTTTCCTTTTGGTTATCAAGGTTGTTTTAAATTTGCCCTTCAGGCCCACATTATTCCCATAATATCTAATTATTCTTATATGGTTAGCTTGTAAGCAAAAGTTCATGCTTTGTTTGTTTTATTTTTCTTTTATATAACGTATCTTAGTTCTGAAGGAAATACATTTTTTATTTTTAATGAAACAATATAGAGGTGTCTCTCTGCAATTGTGTTTCTAATTTATTTCCAGATAAGATTCCTTTGAGTTTGAGGCAGATCACCGGCCGGATTCAAATATGACCAACCTCATCGCTTTAAATTGTGAGATCTCTTCCTCGGAGGGGGGTCTGCTAACCGAATGAACCTGTAGTTTTGTCGTTCGAAATCATTTTTGTCCGACTATACTTGTGATACTTGTCAGACCCACCTCTCAAGATGGCCAAATTTCTATATACGTGAAATTGTTTGAAAGATGTTATTTTCTTTTAGGAGACAAACCTCCCTTCGATGTATTCAGTTTCAGAAAATGGTTCAAACCACATTGTACAACGCCTATGGAAAACAATTACGAATTTTCCCATAAAAACAAAATGGAACCGTGGAATTTCTTCCTGGGGGTTGTCTGAATTTATTTAGAAAAAGGCGTATATTTAAAAAAAATCCTTGCCTCTGATTGAAAATTGAGTAATTAAAAAATGTTCATATTTCGATATACGCCTTGTCAGGATGAGGATCGCATCGACTAATGGTGGGGAGAGAAGAAGGACCGAGAAAAAAAAGAGATCATTGATGCGTGTCCTCCTGCACCGACAAATATTGTGTGAGCGCTTTGGTCATTTTTGAAATAATTAGTCTTTCAATTCAAAAGGATTATTATTATTATTATTATTGTTCGATCTGTTTTCATTTGACGAGTTGTATTTTCTTTTAATGTTTTTTAACATAAAAATTATAAGTTCAGTTTTTTTTTTTTTTTTTTTTTTTTTTTAAATTCCTTGGAGTGCTCCTCATAACCCCAATGCCAGACTGCTCCTTAGGAGATTCCAAACGGTACCGGAAAGACCAGGCGTATCTTGTTGTAGGAGGGCAGGGAATATTCCATCCATCCCGGCTGCCTTGAACTTCTTGAAGGACCATACCGCCCATTTGTAGGCGTCCCAAGAGATCACTTTATATGCCTTAATCCAGTTCGGCACAGGTAGTTAGTTCTTCCTTGGTTTGGGTTTCGGAAGAGCCTGACCTGGGGAAATGGGTCCTGGCCATCAGGTTTAATGTTTCCTTGCTTGTTGTGGAGTACTCCCCATTTTCATCCTGCAATAGGCCTAGTGGATTAATATAATACTTTTCCGAAAGTTTAAAAATTCGGGCACTCTCCTTAATATTCTCTGTCTTCAGACAATAATCCCTCCATGCTTTCCGTTTAGTTTTCCTCAACTTTTTTTGTATTCTTTTTTCAATGAGAGATTTTCCCTCCAGTAGTATAGGGGATACCACCAGCACCCCCCTCCACTACTCCCTTCGAAGTGACCCACGTTTATTTCGTGGGATACCACGAGCTCCCTCGTAATTTTAAATATCTGTGTTCTGATTGGGCCTTGTTTTCCCGCCACAATTTAAATCATCGGGTCTGGTGGTCTCCCCAAGGAAGTGCCCCACGGGTTTTTTTCTCGCGGAAATTCAAATAATGGAGTCAGGGTTGTTTTACCTGGCCGCTGTAGGTGTCCCCTGGTTTTTTTCGAGTGGAAATCCGATTTTCCGTGTCTGATGTTTATTTGCTGTGTGCAAAATGAGGGTCTGATTGCTGCCTGCGTTTTCCAATTTAAAAATCTATGAAAGGGTTGCAGGGTAGTATTTATACCTTTCAAATAAAATACAAAATATATTCACAATATGTTTATTAATAATATGACATACTACAATATTCGTTATAAGTTATAAATTCAATTTCATGTTTTTTTTTTAACAATCCCTTTATATATCATACATATTTTTTGTTCGGACGTATCGTATTGTTCGAATGTTTCTTTTGCCATCGCCTCGGCGAAACGTTTCGGTAGAAGTACCTTCGTTGGAACGTTTTCGCTGTACGGCCTCGATATGCCTAGAAGGGTTATATGAGCTACTGCGAAATCGCCAAATTTCCTCTTCACGATTTCGAATTTATTCCTCGGCGAAGCAAAAATTGTTCAGAAAAAGTAAACAAGTTTGGGACACATTATGATATCAACAGTCGTGCTTATTAAAGAGTTTTGTTATGAACTTATTACAAAAACCCATTCGAGCTAATCGTCTATCAGTGCGAACATCTAAGGATAGAACCGAACATTTTGATAAAGTAAGTAATTAACGTATTTATGAATGCTTATTACGAATTATATATTTTAACGATCCTAGATGTTCCTATTTATATGTTATCATTATAGAATGGATTTTTCATCAATTCCGTGCACTTCGGTAGATGGGGCACTGATCGAGTTTCTACTCTCGAATGACGAGGTAAAAAAAATTTTTTTCCATCAGATTGTCCTTCAATTTATAGTATCATTCTAATGTTTTGTAAGTATTTGCAGATAATTTTTCCGGGCAGTTTGAGTGAATTTAATTCCATCCCTCAAATTACGCTTATCGATGTGGGTACATTTTTTAAATATATTCAAATTGTTTCGAGATATTGCATTCATAATTTATTTTTCGTTGAATACTATAAAAATAATTGATTCTACAAATAATCATTTGTCTGTAGAAATTCAATTTTATTCGATACATTTATATTTGTAACCGTAAATGGTCTCTTAGGATGCATAGTATATACATTTATTTTTTTGTATTATCATTACAAGTATTATCTTATTTTAAAGGAAGAGATCCCTACGGAAGAGACAAAAAAATGCGCTAGATCACCGGAGAAAATAACAACTCCAAAAGAAGTAAAAATCATTTCATTTTAAATGGTTTATGAAAAATATTCGCTTTCAGTATAATTTATTCTTGCGTTTTATTTTTAGGAACACATTATAAACGAAAATGTTTTGGAAAATTTGCACCAATTCTCGTACGATAGTGTAAGTCTTAGAGTAATTTATTACTGTTCGCTATAAGATAATGTAATGATTAAAATATTTTTAGAATTTTGAAGAAGCTAATAAATTTGATGCAGAATTTGAACAAACACATAAAGGTAAAGGGAAAGGAAAATCTATACGGAAAAGATACGCCGATCTCAAGAAAAAAAACGCTAAAAATAGCGTTAAGAAAAGTTTAGAAAGAGTATGTTATTTTACGATAATGTTTTTTCGATAATAATGTAAATAATCAAACATGTTATTTTTCCAGAAAATTAAAAACACAAGGCTGAGGCTATCAACCGCCTTATTAAAACGAAACTGAATAAATTGAAATGTGTTGAACATAAATGTTCGTGTCCACAGTTCGTAGCATGGATTCGAACTCTATTTCAGGATTAAATTTGTTTTGTTATAGTTAATCTGGATGATTGATGTTTACAATGTAAAGGATATTCTTTTATTTTTAAGTTGAAATTAATGTATTATATAAAATAATAAAAACGTTTTGTTAACAAGCCTTTATTCCTACATCAAGTTTGTTTCTCTCTCTATAGTAGTTATAAAAGAAATAACAAAATTCAAAAATCTTAATACGTTTTTTTTAAAACAATTTTATTTGAAATGTATCAACTTATAAATAATCTTATTAACTTCTCAAAATTTACTAGAAATTATTCATTATAATAAAAATGGTATATTAATTAATTCTACGCCTCTTGAATCCATAAGGCACTGTGCAGGTATCAAAAACGACTTTCCTTTTTTGGGAATCCATCCGGAATATTTTTTCTCCAGACGTCGAAATGATGTCAAATGTTTTAGTTCTGTTAATATTTTTGACAGGTACAGTGATTTTTCCTTTGTCGGCAACCAACTTGACCATAGAATCAAAATTTACTATTTGCTATGTTGAAAAATTCAGTTTCAACCCTTTTACTTTGGTTACAATTTTTATTACATTTTTTTCAGGGTCAAAAACTTTAAAAGAATACGATTTCGGTAATAAAGCTATTTTTTCCGAAAGTCTCTAACTCGTTCGTCATTTTTCCAAGCGAACGCCTTGTTTCGATTTTGTATTCCCCTGGTTTGTATCTATAAATGATACTATCAGTGAGTACTATTTTGAGTGTCTACAGAGGGATTGTTCAAAATTTTAAAAAAAGCGTCGCTGTCTTTGACAATTGATGTTTTCGCCAAATTTTCTCTTTGCCCGAGCTTACCCCAAAACGAATTCGCTGCTAGTTTTGATATCGACCGTCTGGCCGGATTATTTTCTATTTTGTCGATATCGAAGAAAATCCCTTCTTCTCTCACGCATTTCACAACGTATTCTTCCTTTTCTTTTACGGATTGTATACCTTCAGGGAAACCGGAAGCTTCTAATTTAATTTTTATAAATTGATTAATATATTGCGCGAACAATCCTCCTTTTCGGGAAACTGGATCGTATTGTGTCACTGCGTATTTCCAAATTTCGTAAATTTCAATCACTCGGTAACCCACCTGCGCTTTCTTTATTTCATCGATAACCCATGTTCCTACAAACGCTCTGTCTTCTGCGCTGTGCTCGCATTCCTCTGTGTTGTATATTTCGGCGCACGTTTTACACAACGTGAACATTAGTTTGTCATTGATTTTAAGAGGCAGGACTGGATGAAAAAGGTCGGCCGGGGGAATAACTCTACATTTGATCAATCCGTTACATTTTGTGGAAATTACGTCTCTTAAAATATTTATAGAAGTATCGTGGCCTATATAAATTTTCGGATGAGATATCGGATACTTTCCGTATTTATTTACCCACGGATATAATGAGCATACATCAATATATAAAAATTTTTCACCCTCAGATTCCTTAATTTTATAGTATAATACAGCGTTTTCAGTCCGCCCTCCGTAAAAACTATCGCAAGGCTTTAAAGGGATCGAGTTCAGTGCAGGGTGTTTTGAAATGATATGCTGTTTTGATTTAAACTCTGATGTTTTTTTTAAACATTTGAATTCGCATTCCGAGATCTGAACAAAAGTGTATCCTCTACGTTTTATACAATTTCTTTTGTTAACTGTTCTTTTGTAACGAGCATTCATTGTATCTTTTACGACTCCTTGTACAGGTTCATCTCTGTTATGTGGAAAACATATTGTACCTCCGTGATAAAAACAGCCATTAAATTCAAAAACTGTGTTAGTTGTTTTACTAAATCCGTCAACCTCACATGTCCCTATTTTAAATTCTTTACCATTTCCTGCATGTAAAATTTTATTGCCTCTTTTCATTTCTTCATAAATCAACCACTCCATGCCTGCACGCGATTGCACACGTTTTCCTATATCCACCGCGAGGTATTACGCTTATTGAAACAGGTTTTAAGAAATTTCTCCTAAAAACAAGATTGCAAGCCGATGCGATGGTGATAGACTCGCGAAAAGGGTCTACGTTACAAAGGTTTAAAAACATTTCCCTAAATGTAACACACGAATTTGTCAATATTGAAACATCTTGCTTGCAATATTTTTCCAACTCTTCCTTCATATTGTATATAACTTGCTTTTCGTACCATACCTGAAATTCTGCCCTTTTCTCTTTAAACATCATTTCTGGTTCGAAGAATTTTTTATCCGGTATTCGACCCACATAATCCGTATTGGAAAACGTATTGAATAAATGTGGAAAAAACCCTTTCTCAAAAATACGACATGGAAGACCAAACGCTTTAGATAAATCCGCGAGCGGCAAAGCATAAAATTAACGGAATCTATAAACTTCACATTGTCGAATTCTAAAAGTAAAAGTTTTCTTCCCCTCATAATTAATTTCAGAATAATTGACGTATGTTCAAGAATGTATTTTAAAACGAAATGACAATCAAACGCCTGTGAATTATGGGCTATACAAATTACGTGTTTACATTTATTTTTTACTAGTAGGATGTGACAAAGAAAACCCTCTAATATTTTATCAACGCGCAACACTTGCATAATGCTGTGTCCAAATAAACATGTACCCGAACCAATGCACTTGTCGCATTTCTCCTGAAACACGCATAAATTAGGAATATGCAAAAACGTATTGTTTGAAAAAGAATACGAATTATCTTGCGTCGTTTCGAAATCATAAAAAATAAATAAAAAATTATCTTGAGGAGGGTGACGTTTGTCAACAGGCATGAAACATCTGTGATTTCGCGGCATTGCTCCCCGACATATTTTACAAAATATTTTGTCACAGTCATGGATAAATTTTTCCTTTTTTTTCCCGAGATTACTAACGAGGGCCAAACATTTATTGCAACGAAAATTTTTTCCACAAATGTTGTTTTTTAAATGTTGATAGTAGCAATGAGCGTTAGGGAAAATTCGTGAGCAGGAATCACACATTTTCTGAGTGTCTAGCGGTGATGTTTGACATTTTGTCTGACTCTTGCAAAATGAACACGCATATGTGTCGGTATTTATTGTTCGCAGCTACGTTGCATTTCTCGCAGAAGTAACCACACGAAAAACAACTTTTAAAATTAGTTATTACGCTGTAATGATTATTATGATGCAGCAAATTTAATGTGTAATGAGCCAAATTGATTGTACCTTCATACAAAAGTTTTCTACCCTTCGACTTGTATTCATAAACTTTAATATTGTATTTAATCAGATAATGTATGTATGTAGAATGTATCTTTGAAAAGCTAAGATTTCTTTTATTCCCGCACCTGTATCTGGGATGTCAATAGTACCCGCCTTTTCCATTAATTTTAGAGTTTTCGCTAACTGTAATCCGTTTTTCCTATCATTTCGAATTTTGTCGTAATCTTTATCCTTTTTTACAAAAGCTTTAGCTACAACCAAAGCTCTTGGGAGACACAAGTGATCAGTGTTATTTTATAAACACTATACCTTTTCTTTTTTTACATTCTTCGGGGAAAGTGGAATAGTAATTCTTCGATCTTCTTCCAGATCCTCTAGGCATATTGACAACAGTAGATATTAATCGAAGCCAAGCTCAGGGACGCTCGGATAATTGTGTAGAAAGCTCATCCCCGAATATTAGCATTTAAATATTAGAAAAAGAAGCTGACATGTCGACAATGAAAAAACAAATCGTGGAAGAAATCCATCGACCAGCGAGAAAAAGGTTTAAACGTCGAAGAGTAACAATAAAAGGTATCGATGATTTATGGCAAGCGGATCTTGTCGAAATGATACCGTATGCGAAAAATGGTAAAAACAACGGTTTTAAGTATATACTAGTTGCTATAGACTGTTTTTCTAAATACATTTGGTGCATCGGAGTAAAACAAAAATCAGGGGAAGAAATAGCTGAAGGGTTCAAACAAATTTTTCATTCTTCCAACGGCCGAATTCCTCGCAATTTGCAAACCGACCATGGTAAAGAGTTTTACAATAAAAATACAAACGCATTGTTTAAAAAATTAACAATCAATCACTATTCCACGTATAGTAACGTAAAGGCGTCTATAGTGGAAAGGGTCATAAGAACATTGAAAACTATGATTTGGAAACAATTCAGTCTTCAAGGTTCATACGAGTGGTTACCATATTTAATTACAATACTAAAAGAGTATAATAACAAGAAGCAAAGAACTATCGGAATGGCCCCGAAAATCCGGTAAGATAGAAAACTATCTGTTGAAAACTGTATTTGTTCCGAAAATGAATGACAAGAGAAAACCGAAATTTCAGATTGGAGATTTTGTGAGAATTTCAAAATACAAAGCCTTATTCAGTAAAGGATATGTACCTAGTTGGTCAACTGAAATTTTTAACGTGGTCGAGGTAAAAAGAACAAGCCCCATAACGTACATTCTTTAAGATCCGTCTGGTCAGAAAATTGCAGGCGGATTCTACACTGAAGAATTACAAAAAGTAAAATATCCCGATGCCTACCTAGTAGAAAGAGTTTTAAAAAAGAGCGGTCAAAGAGTTTTAGTAAAATGTCTAGGCTTAAACTTGAATCATAACTGCTGGGTAAGCTTGAAGGATATAAATATATAAAAGTTTCTTGGCACAGTTATTTTTATCAGTGTTCGGACAGAATTCGTAGGGAAAACATGGCTAAGAAGAGAAAATGCCACTCTAAACGAATAATACGTACTCCTAAGAAAATAGGCGGTGGAAAATTGCACATCTTACCAGCAAACGCAAAGCGAGTATTGTCGACGTTTCCGAAATTTTGTCTTTCTAATTTTGACATTACCCGCATTGCACGTTCGAGAAAAATATGAAATTTTAGAGGGGTTTTCATGAGAGACACCTTACCAAAAAAAGCTTGATACAACGAACGAGCAGTATTGAATTTAGACAGAAAAGCTGGCGGTGGTACTCATTGGGTATGTTACATAAAACAATTGTGGACATCTTTGTTTACTTTTTTTGCTGGACCTTATAAAATAAACGCTTTTGACTCGAAAAGTCTAGTCTTATTATTGAAGCGGATGGGTTTAGTCTTCCGGAAAGTATAAAAAGGACAACTTAATCGGGGAGTATTTATTTTTCCCCTAAAAGTCGGAGTAGAAACATCTATTGTTTCTAGAAATAATATAACATATTTAAAATTTGTTGGATACAAAGTACTACCAAAATCGAAATGGATACGCTGCTAAATGTTGAAGGAAAACCCGTTTTTGACGAATGTATAGAGGGAATAGAATTACATTCCCACCACCCTTACGCATCTACGAAACTGGAACACGGAGAAGAAATACGTATTTCCGTTCAGCATCAGGACATATACACGCTACCATCAGAGAGTTTTCTTTACATAGAAGGACGATTTTTGAAGGAAGACGGTAGTGCTCCGCCACTAGTTGCAAAACTTACGCAAAACGCGTTTGCTTTTCTTTTCGAAGAAATTCGATACGAGATTTGCGGTGCAGAAATAGATCGGGTAAAAAATCCCGGAATCGCAGGAACATTAAAAGGGCTTGCATCAATCAAGAAAGAATCGGTAAACGAAAATACCAGATGGACTTCTTCAGATTCAATTGCACTAAACATCACGTCGGAGAACGGTCACTTCAACGTTTGCTTACCACTAAATATGCTATTCGGTTTTGCAGAGGATTATCGCAAAATTATAGTTAAAGTTAAACAGGAACTAATTTTGATCAGATCAAGAAGAGATGATAATTGCTATTTGACCAAAGCTGTGACAGAAGGAGAGAACAGGATTGTCGAGATTGCAAAAATAGAATTACAAACTATTTCATGGAAAATGCCGTATTTAACGCTTAACGATTACAATAGATTGCAACTATTGCGTCAATTAAAAAAAGAAAAAGCGATATTAGTTCCTTTCAGGAGTTGGGAACTTTACGAATATCCGCTGCTTCCCGCTTCACAAAAACAATTGTGGAGTGTAAAAACTTCGACCCAATTGGAAAAACCGAGATTTATCATATTAGCTTTTCAAACGAATCGAAAAAGCAATCCTGAGAACAACGCGAGTAATTTCGATCACTGTGAATTAACGAGTGTAAAATTGTTCTTGAATTCTAAATCGTATCCGTATAAAGATCTGAATATAAATTTTTCTACAAATCAATTCGGAATGCTATATTACATGTATACGAATTTTCAAAGAAGTTTTTTTGCGGAGACTCATCCCTCTCCTCTACTATCTTTGGCAAGATATAAAAATAACGGTCCGATTGTTGTGATTGATTGTACAAAACAATGTGAATCTGTAAAAAGTGGCCCCGTCGATGTAAGATTGGAATTCGAGGCTAGTAGGGCTTTTCCTGAAAATACAACTGCATATTGCTTGGTTATTCACGATAGGGTACTTGAGTACAATCCGTTCAGTAATATCGTAAGGAAAATGCTGTAAAATCGAAGAACAGATATCATCCCTCAGTAATCTCGGAGCTTCCGTTCACGAAGGAGCTACAACAAAATGAAGATAGCTTTGGTTGACGTTCAAGGGTTCATCGGTAAATACAACAGTTTTATTATTAAAGAACTTTCCTTTATTGATTTCAACAGTAGAGCAAGTCAAAACTGGATTTTTCAACCACCGAAATTGCACGAAGAAAACGAGAAAGTCCGAAAAACCAATGAATGGTTAACCGAGAATTTCCATGGGGCTTACTGGAGAGACGGTGATGTCCCTTTCCAAAATGCTAACAAGATCATTTCATCATTTCTCAACGAGTATGACTTTGTCTTTGTAAAAGGAAAAATGAAACAGGATTATTTGAAAAAATTTAAAAGTGTTTGTGTTATCATCGATCTGACTAACTACGGTTGCCCGAAGATAACAAGTCTTTCTTCCGAAGACGGTAATCAGTGTTTCTACCACAGGATGAAACCTTTCCAGTGCGCCCATTACAAAGTTTTCGGACTGATCAATTGGTTATACTCAAATATGAATATTGTAAAAGACGAGTTGCCAATCAAATTATTTTAATGTTAATAGCGTTAAAAACTACGCGAGAGATAATTTTAAGTTTTATATTTGTACTTTTTAAAAAGCATACTTTACCAATAAAAAAATAATATTTCATTATTACAATTGTGCATTTATTTCGCATTACCCATCGAATAACCTAATATATCCCCACCCTATTTTCTAGTTCACCCTCTCTGCTATCCGTCGTGTTAGTCAACCCCATCCTTTGAACAGAAAAGGAAGGAATTGTAATCGTACAAGGTAAGCTTTCCAGCTATAATAATTTAATTAAATCTTTTTGCCTAGTGGTACATTACTATTGTTTATATTTTAGATGTCTTTGACCTCTATTCTCAATCAAATCAGTAAATCTCAGACGAGTAAATTGTCCGATTTACAGATCGGGAAAGTTTACAGCATTAATAAATTCGAAATCGTGAAGACGAAATTTGGCGATTTCGCAGTAGCTCATATAACCCTTCTAGGCATATCGAGGCCGTACAGCGAAAACGTTCCAACGAAGGTATTTCTACCGAAACGTTTCGCCGAGGCGATGGCAAAAGAAACATTCAAACAATACGATACGTCCGAACAAAAAATATGTATGATATATAAAGGGATTGTTTAAAAAAAAACATGAAATTGAATTTATAACTTATAACGAATATTGTAATATGTCATATTATTTATAAACATATTGTGAATATATTTGGTATTTTATTTGAAAGGTATAAATACTACCCTGCAACCCTTTCAAAGATTTTTAAATTGGAAAACGCAGGCAGCAATCAGACCCTCATTTTGCACACCGCAATTAAACATCAGACACGGAAAATCGGATTTCCACTCGAAAAAAACCAGGGGACACCTACAGCGGCTAGGTAAAACAACCCTGACTCCATTATTTGAATTTCTGCGAGTAAAAAACCCGTGGGGCACTTCCTTGCGGAGACCACCAGACCCGACGATTTAAATTATGGCGGGAAAACATGGCCCAATCATAACACAGATATTTAAAATTACGAGAGGAGCTCGTGGTATACCACGAAATAATCGTGGGACACTTCGAAGGGAGTCCTTGGGAAGACCACCAGACCCGACGATTTAAATTATGGCGGGAAAACATGGCCCAATCAGAACACAGATATTTAAAATTACGAGGGAGCTCGTGGTATCCCACGAAATAAACGTGGGACACTTCGTAGGGAGAAGTGGAGGGCGGTGTTGGTGGTATCCACTATACTACTCCCTCCAACATTGTTCAGAGTTCCCCTGCAGGGCTTTCTTGTGTAGAACTCTGACCCTTTTCCTCACACTAGCCAGAGCTTTGTTCCACCAATGATGTCGATTCGGGCGTAGTATTTTTTCAGGGCATGCTTCAACATAGGCAGAATTAATGACCTGAATGATGTCATTAGCCGCCTGCTCCAGCTCTGTTACATTAGTAGGAGCAGGTACCTGTAATATTATTATTAATATTGTTAACGTAGGTATCCCAATTTGTTAGTTTTGGATTCCTGAACCTTATTTTATTAACTTCTCCTGAGATCCTAAAGTCTATTACACAATGATCTGAGGAGTTGTTACCTGGTGTCACCTTCCACTCCGTTACCCAATTGGTAATTGGCAGGGAGGCTAGTGAAATATCCAAAACTTCCCTTCTATTTTTTGCTATAAAAGTGGGAGTATTGCTTACATTCAGGATTGATAGGTTTTTTCTCACTATATATTCCAAGAATGTATCACCTCTTGCGTTATTGTCTGAGCTGCCCCATGCTATATTATGTGGATTTGCATCGCAGCCCAGTATAAGTCCTATATTATTATCCTCGCAGTATGTTGTAAGTTCCCTAACCGCCTCGGTTGGACAGTCCTCATCGTGGGGTAAATAAGCACTCGCTATGTAGAGGTTGTTATGTCTCCCCCTTCTCCTGAAATCAATTGATATAGTTATGATGTCCTTAGAACAAAACCTAGTTAAGAGGATTGGTTTTAGTTCTGATAAATGATAGAGTGAGTGTGGTGTTCAATACTTTTTAAAAGGATAGTTCCTACTCACAGTAAGTTGTTTTTTGCAACGATCCGGATTTCGAGCCTTTTAGCTCATCATCAGGTTGAAGGACTTCTACAACCACGTCTCTCGACATGAATTGCCAAAGTGAACCTCTGATACCTCCGCCAACGCGACGTTCTAATTATCAGCTGATTTTTTTAATGNTTCAAATTGAGCGTCATTAAAAAAATCAGCTGATAATTAGAACGTCGCGTTGGCGGAGGTATCAGAGGTTCACTTTGGCAATTCATGTCGAGAGACGTGGTTGTAGAAGTCCTTCAACCTGATGATGAGCTAAAAGGCTCGAAATCCGGATCGTTGCAAAAAACAACTTACTGTGAGTAGGAACTATCCTTTTAAAAAGTATTGGTTTTAGTTCCTTATGAGCCACTACACACGCTCGTGGCCTGACTTGCCTTAGATCCTGGAACAGTTCAAAACTATTATTCTTTAAACCAATTACTTGACCCCTATATGTATAGGGTTCCTGTATTAGATACAGTCGCCATGTTACTTCCGATTCCGGCAGTGGCGGTTTTGTTGTGCTGCATATTAATCTGTGACACCCTGAGAGGCCTCATGAATGGTTCATGGTACACTTGGGGTGCGTCACCTAGATGTTGGTGGATGGTTTAGCCCCTTTCTAAGAGGGAGTCTTCGACCTCACTAGATAGCTCGGCCGTCAACTCCTCCGGTCTGGGACCGCCCGCCTCAACATCTCCCTTACCTATTTCCGCGTTAGCGGGGTTTACCTTCGTACCCTCGTCCTTTAATGATGGAGGTAGCTCTTTTTCGATCTCCATTTTCTCTTGTAGAGTGGGTATGGAGACTTTCACCTTGATACGGTTCAACTCCAGTGACAAAGTTGGGTTCTTCTGGAGTGTCCAAGCATCCTCTTCCGGTACTTCCCAACACAGGTAGGTCCCGTGGCCTGTATGGGGTTCTCTATTATAAGCGGTCAGCTCCCAGTCCTTAATGCTCAAACCTGCCTTCCTGTTTGAGATCCTGAGTAGTTTATTTATGGACTCTTTTCTGGTTTCGAGTCCCACTACATACGTGGATACTTTGGCCTTCCTCGGTAGGTCATTAATATCGCAAACCACGTATTCCCTCTCCTCCCATAGTTTCTTTAATGTGTCCATGACAAACTTGACGGTTAGTTCATCGCCACAGTTTTTCAGAACATGGAGCCTCCTTTTACCAGGCCTGAGTTAATGAAGTCTACGCCTTGGTCTTCATCCTCTTCTTTAATTAAGTCTAAGGCACTGTTGCAGATCAGTGATCTCAACTTCAGTGCCTCTTAGTTAGTGAGGAAATCCTTGTTGGCTTTCCTGAAAACAACTTTATAAATAGGTTTAGGTGTTGTTACCTGATCATTATCCTTTCCCTGCCTTAGTTTTTTGGCAGGTCCTATGGCGGAGGGAGGAGTATTAGAGTACTCCGTACTACTTCTTTTAGTACTGGTCCCCAGTCTCTTTTGAGCTGGGGTTGTACTTACCTGTGGGCCTCTTTTCTGTTTAAACCTGTCCTTGAAAGGTGGCTGGACGGTTTGTGTGGACCCACTCGTTTGAGGGTTAGAGCGACCCTTGTTGTGCATGCTCCTGGATCGCTCGCCTGTCTTACTTCTTTTTACCAGGGTGAATCCTGCGTCTGTATCACCCTGTTCCTTACGGAGAGCATCCTTTTCTCCTTCACAGCGCACCAAAGCGGTGCAGCCGGAGGATAGAGGAGTGCTCTCCACTGTTTCGTCCGTCTTCTTCGTCTGCTCCGTCTCCGTCTTTCGCCTTCTCTCCTTCTCCAACTCCGTCTCCAGTCTTACTTCCTGTTTCCCACTCATCCGAGTGGAAAACGTCGGTTGTATTACAAAAATAAGTAAATGTTCTTAGTTGGCTAGCACGTGGTTGAAAAGACCGTGTGACCTCCTCGCGGTTCACCGCTCAAGTCAAGACATGTCTAACTATCAAAAATTATTGGTAAAGATTTACCATTGTCCCGTCTACTCTCAGCTCTCGCATACTGCGGACGGTTCAAAATGAGTAAGTGCTTAAAGTGGGTAAAAGGATTTACGCACAACCAATTTCGCGTGGAATGTTGTACGTGCAAACACCTCTTCCATATTACTTGCGTATCCACACACGATTTTCTTTACTTAAAAGACTCAAATACTCCCTGGTTTTGCGAATCATGTGCTAAAGAGAAACGGCAGTCTCGTCGATTTGAAGAAGTCGCACAATCTCAAAATATCGCAAATCTAATCAATGTAATTAGTGATTTTAAAGCTGATATTAATAAAACACAAAGAGACTTTCAAAATAGTTGGGATCAATAATCTACCTTCGTTGGAATCTGTACTCACCCGACTCGATGAATGTAAATCTCTGAAATA